CATGTGTTTAAGCCCCCAGTTTGCTATCAGTATTTCCTGCCCTGTGCACGTTTGTATCAACGTGTTCGAAGGTATTGATGAGGTGCAGCCTGTGGGGAAATAATCCACATGATCATGAGTAATGTTACAAAACCTTTATTTACTTGTCTTAATGATCACATTGATCACTGAGGAGGTCAGTGATGCTGGGACCTTGGTCACACTAAGAAATAGCCATCAATTAAACTAAGAAGCGACCTAACTTCCAGTGGTTCAGTGCTACACTGACATCTAGAGGCTATTGTTGGGAAGGTCAATTCAAATGAATGGGACAGCAGATCTGCTGCGGTACTGGATATGCAAATAGTGACCTCACACAACATAAATGTAAAAAATAAATAAATAGTTGACACTCTGTATAAGCATGGATCCTCTGTTTTATACATTTTCATATGCCTTTAAATTACATTTATGTTCTCTCACTGTGATTTCAGTAAAAAATATTTAAACCCAGCTTTATATTGTACTTTTTATTTTATTTTTATTGTACTTTTTGCTAATTTTTATTTCAGAAAAAGCATTTTACGCACTATATAAAATAAAAAGAAATCACTGTCACATTTATGAGCAACTAGGGCGGCACGGTGGCGCAGTGGGTAGCGCTGTCGCCTCACAGCAAGAATGGCCTGGGTTCGAGTCCCGGCCGGGCGACCGGGGTCATTTCTGTGTGGAGTTTGCATGTTCTCTCCGTGTCTGCGTGGGTTTCCTCTGGGTACTCCGGTTTCCTCCCACAGTCCAAAGACATGCAGTCAGGCTGATTGGACATGCTAAATTGCCCCTAGGTGTGAGTGTGTGTGTGAATGTCTATGTCTGTCTGTCTGCCCTGCGATGGACTGGCGACCTGTCCAGGGTGTATCCTGCCTTCCGCCTGATGACAGCTGGGATAGGCTCCAGCACCCCACCGCGACCCAGAAGGATAAGCGGTTTAGATGATGGATGGATTTATGAGCAACTAAAGATACACTATATGGCCAAAAGTATGTGGACACCCCTCCTAATTATTGCATCCAGGTGTTTCAGCCCCATTCATTGCTAACAGGTGTATAAGATCAAACACATAGCCATGCACTCTGAATAAACAAACACTGGCACTAGAATGGGTCGTACTGAAGAGCTCAGTGAGTCTAAAAGTGGCATACTGTCATAGGACACCACCACAAGCCAGTTCATGAAATTTCTGCCCTGCTAGATCTGTCCCCAGACAACTGTAAGTGATATTACTGTGAAATGAAAGCACCTATGAGCAATAACTGTGTAGCCACAAACTCAAACAGCGGAAATGTCGAGTGCTGAAGTGCGAAGTGCATCAAAATCGCCTATCCTCTGTTGCATCACTCACTACAAGGTTCCAAAATGGCTCTGGAAGCAACATCTTCACAAGAACTGTGAAACGGTAGCTTCATGAAATGCGTTTCAATGACCAAGCAGCTGCACACAAGCCTAAGATCACCATGTGCAATGCCAAGCGTCGGCTGGAGTGGCGTAAAGCACGCCACTGCAAATGCTCTTAACTGAATGGGTACAAATTCCCACAGACACACTCCAAAATCTTGTGAAAAACCTTCCTAGAAGAGTTCACATACTTTTGGCCATATAGTGTTGTTCGGTTCATTATAACAGAGTTCACTTCAGAGAAACCGATGCTTAAATGGCTACACTGAGTGTTAAGGTTTGAATCATTATTGCACTGTTTAATCAGCTAATCTAGAGCCTAAGAGCACCTGCCATACTTCTCTTTCCTCTCCAGTGGTCAAAACATGGTGATATTTTTGTCAAGCCTTCCAGGAAACTTTTGTGCCATTGCATCGATATTAATCTGCAGGCATTGATCAGTTTCCGCTTCCGTAGCTATTTGAAAAGCCCTCTGTTAATGTGCTCTTGATCCAGGTGCTTCGGATCAATGCACATTCCAGCACACTGAGAGCAGCACCGATATTCTCGGGAAATCGATACCATCCTCTCCCACCAGCTCAGGCTAGCTGTGTAAGCGGCCATCCAGCGGCGAACTAACCGAAAGGCCTTGGAGGCTGGAAGAGATTGCTATGACCAGAGAACTTCTATTGAAGAGAACTACCACTTAATAGTGTAATGTCTTTCGGGTATGGCTGATCAGAGCGCTGACCAGGGCGCTGACAAGCGAGTCCCAAATGAATGGGTTTCTATGGTGGCGCTTTTATGCCAAGTCTTAGATTGTAGATGCTTAATCGTTTTTAAACAAATGCGTTTTCTCAACACAGAGCAACATCTGAGTGTGATACCATCAAATCCTCGAATTTGAATTTCTCACATCATATCTTCATATAAAACATTGGCAATTCTAGTTTTTTTTAGGTGGGGCCACAGTTACTGTTCAGGCGCCAAATTAAACACATTCAAATTCTCCAAGTGCTCCACGTTTACTCACAATATCTATGTATTTGTATATATTATTCACATTATGCACATATATTATTCAGTGTGTTTTCCATTCAGCTGCAGGCATGATAAAATTAATCATGAGGCTAATAATTTCATAACTACCAAATACAGACATGCAAACTCCTAAGCAGTGAAAAATGGGACAAGTTCAGAAACCAACCCTCTGTGCAGGGTCCAGAAGCATTATGGTGCATTCATATAGGAAAACAGGTAATTGCTGAAGAACAGGGGGACAAATCCTGGTCCTGGAGATCCAAAAAGGCATCTATTATTGGATCAGATGTGTTATATAAGGGCCGGAGCTAAACTCTGCAGGCTGGTAGGTCTCCAGGACCAGGTTTGGGCACCCTTGAAAGATGAAGATTGTAGAAAGATTCAGTTCAACACTGATGGCGGTTCAGGTCATGTCAAAAACTGTACAGCTTTCCAGGTATTTTAAAATATTTTTCTAATGACTTATTGTTTACCATTCTAATGTCAGTGTGTACAAAATTTGGCAAACATCTCCTTTTAAGATCCCTCCTCAAGCTTTTATAATTAGAGGCCATTCTAGAAACTCACTGTCACTTACAGAGACTTTTATTTTGGAAAATAAACTTGGACAAATATTACAAACACCTGAGAGAAGAAAAATAATAACTAGGACTGATATAAAATGATTTTAAAATAATATTGTTACTGACACTATGATAGATTAAAAATATTTACCAAAAGACTAACAAAGTATAACTGAAGAAAGGAAGGAGGGAAATGAAGTAAACTGGACTGTAAATGGAAAATGAGCGATGATAAGTGGAATTTTGTGTATTACTCTGCTTGACCAGCAGTGGGCCACCCGGAAAACGCTGAGCAAAACGCCAATGGACCACCAGCTTTGCCATCAGTGGGCTGACAGTGGTCCACTAGCCTCTTGCTATCAGGGATTCTAAAGCTATTGGAGAGAAATATCATATTTGTGAAAATAAAACTGCATCAAGTGTGAGAAGAGTTAGCTGGCCAGCTAACGACCATCAGATTCATATGTCAGTCACTCAGCCTACACAAGTAGCTTGTCATAAAAATTGGTTTGGAGAAAGGCCAATGTAGATGAAAATCTCGATTATGGGCAATTTAGTTTCTAAGATGTCTTTTAAAGTCTTGGGATTTATAGCTAGCAAGCATTAAATCGCTAACGTTAACTATTAAGAGACTATATATCACACCACTATAATCCAGAATAGACAAAAGTGTTGCTTCAACGATCTTTTTCCTTGTAAGCTTTGATAAACTCATTTTGTTTCAAAACAATAAGCCTCAGTTTTATATGTAAGCTAGTTAACATGGTATATAGAAGTGCGTCTGTCATCTAGCCATATGCCAATGTATTTATACTCACTAACTCTTTCAACGTCAGATCCCTTCAGGGTTGTGATTTTAAAAAAGTGTTAAAATTAATGTTAGTGGCTCTGGAAAACAGCATACATTTAGTTTCCTCAACATTTAAGACTAGTTTATGACTGTAAGGCATTAAAAGAATGAAGAAAACATTTTTCCACTGCAGTATCAATATAGTCAGCTGAGCAGTACAAAATGGTGTCATCTGCAAATAAAAATACTTTGCAATGAACAACAGAGGTGGCAATTTCATTAACATAGATATTAAATAATACTGGTCCAGGGATCAAACCTTAAGGGCCCCCTTAGTTACTGGTAGTAGCTCTTCCCAGATAGCGAGCATATATCGGTCCGCTGGCTTGATAAGGTTCTGCATACAAGCTCAAACAGATTTTAAATGCACAGAGCCTTTTAATTTGGAAAATAAGACAAATATTACAAACAACCGAGAAAAAAAAAATGTGTATATATATATATATATATGTATAAAATATAAATGTCCTTATATAAAATAATTTTACTAAACTAATAATATTTACTAAACTAATTTACAAAGTATTACAAACTAAAGAAAGCAACAATAAGTGTAATTTTGTCAAATACTCCACTTATCCACCGGTGGGCTGCCCAGAAAACGCTGAGCAAAACACCAGTGGATCACCAGCTTTGGCATCAGGGGCCAACAGTGGTCTGCTATCCTCTAGCTATTACGGTTTACTTTGTCCCAGGGCTACACATTGCTGTCTATCTAAGAGTAGCCAAAACCAATATTTTGTAGTCTTTTTAAAAGTAGGGAATGGTCGATTGTATCAATGAAAATGACTGCACAATGTTTCTTTCCATCAATGACACTAAAACATTGTCTAAGATGAGAGCAGCAGCAGAGATTGTGCTATGCTTTTTCTCTAAAACCAAACTGGTTCTCTGTGAAGACTGAATTTCCATGAAGAAATGTCTTGCTCTGATTATTCACTAAGGATTCTAATATTTTGGCTAACATGATCATTTTGAGATGGGTCTATAGTTATTAAGATCTAAGGCATCACCTCCTTTGCGGAGTGGAATTACACATGCTATTTTCCAGATACTGGAAATTCTGCTAGATAAAATAGATTAAAAATATATGTAACGTGTTCTAAAACGATCAGCTGCCAATAAAAACAAACAAAGCACTTCTATAGATTTATTTCAATATAAAAATACAGATGCATTATTGAGCTTTACATCCAAAGCAATATACACCAAGCCCAGCATTTTAACAACCACTTCAGTGAGTGGGGTGCAACCTGAAGAATGTAGAGAGTCTCAGTCAAGATGATACAAATGATCATGATAAACGTGAGTATGAGGCTGTACACGTGGACAGAGTCCCGAGAAACTAGAACGCACACGCAAAAACAGTGCAGAAGCATATATTGGCTCAGCTAGGCAGGATATTTGCATGCGCTGATTGAATCCGTACACAATATATGCTGAAGTGCAGATGACTGGGAACTTAATGGCTCAGTCAGGTATGTGTCTAAAGCAAGTGGACAAGCCTACACAATTTACATGAGATAACCACAGAGAATCTACTACTGAACTGCTGTTTCACCTGAGCTGGATTTTACAAGCTAAAAGTCAACAGACAGGCAGAACCACATTCTGAACTCGCTGGCGCCGACTGCTTTTCATCCACACAGGCAACAGATCTATTTACAGATATATACAGCAGAAACAAAACCATACAAACATCTTTGGTAGCCTCATATGCAAATAAATAAATAAATAAATAAAGTCTGTGAGTGAATGAATGAATGAATAAATGAAGTGAGTGAACAAATAAATAAATCATGTTTGACCCTGATTTTTATTCTTCTTAGATCATTTATGGCACATAAAAGAAAACGAAGGCTGATCTATTCATGCTTCATACAAAAGTGCTTTTCTTTCGTAGAGCTTGTTTCCAGGTTGGACAAGAAAGTTTCCGAAAAGTTGGTGAGAAAATGTAATAATCTTTGTAGCTTGGACTTTGTAGTTTAAAATGCCACCCCAATCAAGTTGCACTATGCTGCTGTAGCTAACTGATACCAACTGAATATCAACTGAAGCTAAGTAGAGTCGTACTCTACAATTGTTTATTAGACTGAATATGATTTCTGGCAAAGCTTAGAGCATGGAGAGGTGTACACACACACACACACACACACACACACACACACACACACACACACACACACACACACACACACACTCACTGAGCACTTTATTCTTTATTAGGAACACTAACACTGGGTAGGGCCTCCCTTTGCTCTCAAAACAGCCTCAGGTCTTCGTGGCATGGATTCCAAAAGATGTTGGGAACATTCCTTTGAGTTTCAGGTCCACGCTGACATGATTTGCATCAGTTCATGCAGATTTTTCAGGTGCATGTTCCGATTTTACGACATCCTAAAGGTGTTCTATTGGATTCAGATCTGGTGACAGGGAAGGTCACTGAAGGACTCACTGCCATGTTCATGAAATCTTGCGACAACTTTTGTTCTGTGAGATTATCATGCTGGATGTAGCCATGAGAAGATAATAAATGCTGTGGCACTGAAGCTTTGATCAATTGGTGTTTACAGGCCCCAGCTGTGCCAAGAAAACATTCCCCACACCATTACACCACCTCCACCAGCCTGGACTGCTGATACAAGGCTGGTTGGGTCCACTCATTTATGCAGTTGGTGCCAAATTCTGACCCTACCATCTGCCTGAGCAGAACCAGAGATTCATCATTGTAGCCCATCCACCTCAAGGTTTGACATGTTGTGCATTCTAAGATGCTTTTCTCCTCAATACAATTGTACAGAGTGGTTATGTGAGTTACCATAGCCTTTCTGTCAGCTAGAACCAGTCCGGCCTCTTTCATCAACAAAGCATTTCTGTCTGCAGAACTGCAACTCAATGGATGTTTTTTTTCTTTATTGCATCATTCTGAGTAACTCTAGAGACTGTAGTGCATGAAAATACTCAAGCTAGCCCGTCTGGCACCAACAACCATGCTACAGTTAAAATCACTGAGTTCACATTTTCCCCACGATGTGGTTGATGTAACATTACCTGAAGCACTACCACTGCAGTGCTGCCACATGATTAGCTGGTTAGATGAGTCCATGCACAAGTAGCTGTACAGGTGTTCCTAATAAAGTGCTTGGCGAGTGTCCATATATTTTTTTTCTTAGAGGGATGTGAAAAGTATGAGGCTACAAGAATAAAAGGCTAGAAGTTGTACACACCTGTCTCATGAAATCTGAAGGGCAATTGATAAAAAGACATCAAGATATCAAACACTGTAGTGTCATTAAATAAAATATTTATACACATAATGAAGGCAATAAATATCGTAATAAATACAGTAATATAGCCACAATGATCTCTTTTTACCTTTGCTTCATACATGAAAATACTATAATATAAATATCAATAAATTTGAGACAAAACAAATAAGAATAGATAAACGTCTGGAATATAAATTATACAGAACTATTTCAAGTAAGCGTAGCGCTGCTGTCTTTTCTACAGTAATATTGAGTCCCACATAACGCTGAAAATGCAATATGAATAAGAATACGCACAGTGTGATTAAAATAAATTACATTCTTACACATCAGCATGGTTAGCTTTCTCATGGAAATACTTCAGTATTCAGTGTCATACCTCACCATAAAGAACCCATTTCATGAAAAATAGTGCACATATGTCTCAAGCTGGTCCAGACTCAGTTGAGCTGAAGTAGTCACCGGTGATTTGCAGCAGACAGAAGGTTCATCCTGAAAACTGGCTTTAGTATCTGTGACAAAACAAAATGAACAGAAATCAATAGCCATGTTTGAAGCTACATAATTAATGCTTTTGAGACTCATTTCATCCAATCCTATAGCTATGCACTGCTTTTTAAATGGAAAATGTCTTTAAGCTCAAATTCTAAATAAGTGACAAAGTCTGTACAAAAGAATGTGATTAATTCCAATTTAATATTTTAATCGTCTGATAGCACTAATGTTGTCACTGTCATAACAAAAGCTTGTGCCTCCAAAAGAGTAACTAAGGAGAAAACATTCTAACTTTCAATGTAAGTTAATGTCATTTTGGGCTACTTCTGTTGGTCCATTTGTCGTGTACCTGCTCACGACAGTAGAAAAGTGACCAATGTTCTGAACCCTGAAGGAGCTTGAGTCAGGATAAATAAAACCTGTTAGCGAAGATCACATTTACCTTTGCCTGGTGGGGCCATATGAGTCCAGCATCTGAGTGCTAGCTTGCTCTAGGTTCCAACTGCACCGCTGCAGAACCTCTACACACTCAGGCCGAGCCTTCAGACCTAAACGGAACAGCTGCTCCACCTGAACGGGTAAACACACGCACACACACACACGCACACACACACACACACACACACATACACGCATAGTGAGCTCAGTAGTGTACACTCATGATCAGCTGGCATGTCTCACCTTTGGAGTACTGAGACATGAAAAGATTTTTCTGATTTGCACAAACCAAATCCAGGCTACATGATGGCTGCTAAAACAGCTTTTAACCACAGCTTTTAACTACTAAATGTTCTATAAATATATAAAAACCCAAGTTTGAGGACCAGAAATATGGGAAAAGATAACAGTATGTCAAACAGTGTCACAAACCACATCTCTCTCACACACACACACACATACACACTTCCTAAGCTGCTTATCCTCCTGGGTCACTGAAGCCTATCACAGTGCTCACTGGGCGAAAGGCAGAAAACACCCTGGACAGGTCACCTATCCATCACAGGGCAGACATACACATTTACACACACACTTAGAGCCAATTTAGTATCTCCAGTGGGCCTGACTGCATGTCTTTGGGAGGAAAGACTGTGGGAGGAAACTGGAGCACCCGGAAACCCATGCAGACACATGGAGAATATGCAAACTCCACAAAGAAAGGACCCTGGTTGCCTGGCTAGGGAATAAAACCCAGGCCCTTCTTACTGTGAGGTGATAATGCTACCCACTGTGCCACTGAGCCACCCCAGAACCACATTAGTTAACATGGTGACACATTTTAAAGCAACAGTGTGATCATTCAGAAATGCAGTTTGCACTGTGTGACTCTAGAGACAGTGAAGCTTAAGTTTACAGCCTCCATACTGTATACATTCAATGATAGGACATTTCTGCCATTAGAATCATTAGCATCAACTGCTTTACTGTGATGTTCCTTTGGTAATCACAGTAGTTAATAATCAGAAATTTATTTTTACTTTGTATCATTTAAGAGTTAAAGTCTCTCATGCAGTTAAAGACATACTGAAACACAATCAAAGGCAGTCAGATAGAGAGAGAGAAAGAAATAAGTCAGGCTGCATTCTGTAATAAAAAGAGAGAGTAAATGTCTTTGATGATGTAGTTTTATCTGCAAAGTGAGACTGAGAAGTGAATGCATCTTCGCTTATCCATTTTTAAGTAACACTCCAGAACACTCCAGTTTTTTTCCTTCAATCAGATTGAACCACGCTTTTTAATTCTGGCAGGTGATGTTCTGATGGCTCATTTTTCACGTGAGGATCTGTTTTGATCTAGTACAGCATGCGCACGGCGAACATATTTCACATAAATCCGTAAAACTCTGCTCCCTATATTTTTTCATGGAAATATTTACCTGGAAATAAACAACAGAAGGTTTTCAACTTTTTAAAAAATGAAAAAATGAAAAATAAAAATTCTGCACCATTCAGACTTCAACAAATGTGTAATATTAATCGTGTTAAGGCCAGGTTAGATTTGGATTTAGACTTATTCCTTCCACTGCAACTCTTAGATGGATTTGATCTGCTCATCACAGGATTTTGCTAGCTCGAGTGCACATGATTATTAAAGCACAAGGGGGACAAACCACATACTAAGAAATTCTGAAATTCATATACATATACACACACACAGGGTGATTCAAAAAGATTTATCCGATTTCAAAACGCCATATTTTTACCACCGTGAGGCGCCTAGGAACCAATCACATACCAATTAAAAAAAAGGGGGTCACAGAGTTTCTGACTGTCAGTGGAAGATGGCTCCCTTCAGTCTAAGAGGAGATGTGACCCCTGAGCAGAAAGCGCTTTGCGTTCTCCACTTCAATAAGAGTGAATCCGTCATAACTGTGCAGCGTGATTTTTGTCGGCGGTGAACCTCCAACAGCTCAGAGCGCTCGTTGTTGGTTCCACAACACTGGATGATCTCCGAAATCGCACTGAAAGAGCCGTGAGTGCAGCGACACCCTGACATGCTCATTCGAGTATGGGATGAATTTGACTATGGCATTGATGTTGTCCGTACAGCTGGAGGAGGTTCATATTGAGCACTTGTAAAATTATATAATGAATATTATGCTCATTTAAACCAATTACAGTTTACTGCATTGTTCTGTAATGATTTATAAGTGAAATAAATCATTTTGAAATCGGATGAATCTTTTTGAATCACCCTGTATTTTAAAGATTCTACTTTTCACCAAAACTGTTTGCTAACAATATAATTTGTAATGAAAATCTCTGCACTGAAGTAGAAACATTTTCATCAGAGATGTTTTATTTTTGGACCCCACTGTATGTCTTATCCACATTACTGATGCCTCATAGCTCCAGCGCAAAACTAACCCAACCAAACTTTCTTGGCTACTCTCTTAATTTGGAGCCTTAATAAGAGCAGCCAGAGGAGAAGCCACCCTACCTTTAGATACTGCACTGCCTCCTGGATGTTCCAGTTGTGACTCTGGAGGGCTGCCTGACACTCCTCTACAGTTACTCCATGGACTGCCTCCTGCACCTGTAGGCACAAAGCAACAAATGAGCTTTTTATGGCTCTTAATTTGTAGAAAAAGTCGATAGAAATTGTTTGTTTTTCTAGAATGGTAAGATCCTCAACACCCCCCAGGCACATTTCATGCCAGTTTTAAAGGGCTACTTACAGACATAACCATATGACATTAAGCACAGAGAATTGTCTCCTATGTCACACAACATTATTTTGTGAGGTGTTTGTGCTATAATGATGAAAATCAAGGTCAATTTATTCATCGTTAATAATTTTTGCATTTGTCCACCTCTTTCTCTGAATGACATCAAATGAACCTTGTTTGCTATAGGTTAAATTATGATGCTGTGATGAGAATCAGGATTAACCAATCAGAAATATGCACCAAAGAATATCTGTAAGTATAAGTAATTCAATTTAACCCTTAAGGCATTTCTTTCATTAGAACAGTAACATTATTGATATGGTTTGCTAACAGTAGAAAGAACCTTGGTGGACATACCTGTCTGACACTGCTGTAAGAGCTGGCTTGTGCTGCTGGCTCTGAGGTTGAAGCCAGGCTGTAAGACCTGCCTGGTCCACTGCCACTACTGCTAGGAGCAGAAGGAAGATTGGGCTTAATGACCTTCTGCTGGACCATGGGCCTAACGGTGGCCATATTGGTGGTTCTTCTATCTTCACCTCCCTCTGAATCCTTTAGAAACCTTTCATATTTGTCTAGATACGCTGGCCTCTCTGGTAGCAAGTAATAGTGGGTGCTACTGGCCTTCACACCATCACACATAATGGGGAGGATGCAGGGGCTCTTCGCTTGAGCTTGACCCGTCTCAGTGGAGCCGTACTGGGTGTCTAAAGTGAGTCTACTGGGGCCGGACACAAGCTTAGAGGAGGTACTGGAGGCTGTGGACGAGGAGGTGGTGGAAGGAGCACAGGAATATGAAGAGGGGGACAGGCAGGAACCCAAGGAACCAACACAGCACAAGCTAAGCTTCTGCTGAGGGGAACCCGCATACGGGGCCATGGGGCTGGGGGCCCGTGAGCCAGGCTGGGACACGGCATGGTCTCTGGGGGGGATCCGAGGGGGCCTGCTCCGGTCTTCATCATCCCCCAAAGAGGCCGAGAGCCTGCTGCCATACACGTTCGCCCGCTTGGAGGGCCGCATGGGCGGGATCGGGATCCGGGGCGGTATCTGGGGTTTGTCCTCGTAAGAGGAAGGTAGGATGATCTGGCGGTGTGGGGCGAGCGAGTGAGCAGGGAATTGGCGAGGAGGGCAGCGAACGGCCCGCTGCAGGCACACGCAGCTTCGCCATCGCCTCCTTCTGCAGCTCCTTGAAGATGTCAGCCGACTGTGAGAAGGAGTGGGTCTCCTCTGCTGGCTTGGAGGGCAGGAACAGGTTGTCCTCAACCACGCGCTTACCCTCGCTGCTGCGATCCAAGTCTCCTTCGGCAAGATCTGGGTGATAAAATTATTCCAATAATTATTGAAATCAAAATGTTCAAAAGATTCAAAGCGTGTGAGGTATTTTTAATCCAGTCATTATGTTCCTCAATTCAGTATTAGCAGCAATAACTTTGAAACATTTTCTGCACTAGGTGGCGATGTAGCCAGTTTTCCCTATGGGGAAAATGAATGGCGTTTTTTAAAAAACCACAGCTATGGTTAAAAAAAAAATGTTCATTATTCATTTTTCCTATTGAAAAAAACAGCTTAGAGTTCCTAATATGGGAATGATGGCGACAACAGAATGACGCACAACTTCAGAGGTCTATTCACTAATAACAAAAAGTGGTGGGTTGCAGCTGCCACTCCAACAACCCACCAGCTGTGGCTTTTGTGGCTTTCAGCTTCTCACATCTCTACAAAATCACTTTTTATCAGCAATAAGCTATTTCTTAACAATAAATTAGCCCTAAACATCTGTGGAGTCTTAAATCTCTTATTTATCGTTTGGGGGTGAAGGCAGCCTTGCGTATCCTCCATCTTTGGTTTCACTGATATTCTCTCACCTGCTAGTCAGCACTCAGCAGACACTTCCGCTCCCATAACTGTATACAGATAGCGCAAATGTATTCCATTTAAACATGTTAAATATGGTAAGATTAGTCTCTGACCACCTCTGAACATGGTTGAGAGATCTGATCATAAGCTCCCAGTGTGTCCTGGGGTTGTTCACGCCTGGCTTTTTATGCGGTCAAGTGAAATTTGAATGCGATTCAAACTGGCGAACTACACGATGGACTGTTTGCTAATTAACAACATCACAAAAACACAGATAAATTATTAGCTTAATAACACAATCACAAAATAGTGAGACCATTAATGGCAAGATCAATATAGCTAATTCAGATCATTCCCACCGATACATATAACAGTACTAACTGTCATATAAATACAATATTATTGCAAAAACTACGTCTCCGGAATTGGGCATTGCATTTGTAACTATTTCTGTTATAACTTCCAATGAGTGAACTCTTTGGGCGTCTGGTTCCTATCACCAACAATTCTACTCACTATAATTTCATTCAAGGGTTCTCAACCTTTTCCACCCCAAGACCCACCCATTTATACATACAAAGCATATCGACCCACAGGAAAACTAAAATCAGCCTTTTTTTTTAAAAGCAGTTTTCTTTTTCTTTTCTTAAGTGCTGATACTGAAAACCTGAGAATTAGGGCCTGAAAAAGGTCAGACCAGTTCAATCACAGAATCTCTAGTTTTGAGGGGTTTTGTGATTCATTTGCAATAGCCAAGCCTCACTCCACTGACTGGGTTTTGGATTAGCATCGTCACAATCAACAATAACCTTACTTGATAATCTGCTTCTTTGTCACTGGCTTATCAATTTGAGTTTAACCACTCATGTTGCTGATGCTCACGACCAATGAGCCTCGTTTTTTTCTCAAGTTTGTTTTTGAGAAAGGTCCTAAGAAAAAGTCTGTCAGATTCATGACGAGTTCTCAAACCACAGAACCGTTCACACCTTTGTGTTCTTGAGTTGTGTAGATTCAGTTCTTCCCTAACAACAAATCGCAAATAAGAAATAATGTAATGGGTCCACAGCAAACAAGGCAAGTGAAAGCACCCTGAGGTCCCATGTCTCATGTGTATGATGTGTAATTGGCCTACAACTCTACCTTTTTTCACACTTTTTCTGACTTAAAGTTACATCACTGGCCCAGTACAAGCTACTGCCTCACACTGAGTACGGGTTTCTCAACCTGTGTGCCGCGGACCACCGGTGGACCGCGAAGCACCGTTGAGAAACCCAGATTTAGTTTTAATTAATTTAATTGCCCGATTTAGGCAAAATTATGTTTACACTTTGTTTAGTCTAGTAATTTTTTTTTATGCTTATTTTCTAATAATTACCAACATCAAACGATATCAGTAAAAGCCGTACCGTCAACAACGTCGTACTTCTGTTCAGCCTCGCTTTCTCTCTGCTGAGCAGAGGCGTTTATGGAGCTGACCTCCACGTCCTCCTGCTCCTCACACTCTAAGGCTACCTCATCGTAGGCCGGGAGTGGAGGGAGTGGTCGAGCGTCCCAGTCCACCACAGGGGTGGGGTGGAGGGGATTGGGCAGGCTGCGGTAGGGGCTGTGGAGCGGCACTGCATCCAGAATGGAGGCGCCTGAGGCTGAGGGCAGCTGCCGGGCGGTGCTGGAGTTGGGTGTTTCCGTGATGGGGGAGGGTGAGGCTGAGCTGAAGCTGTCGTCTCCGAAGTCGATGAGTGAGACCTCGCTGAGGCGGTCGCCAGGACTGGAGCTCTCCCACGGCCGCAGACGCAGACCTAGATACGCCGGCGTCTTCAGAGACAGCTTCTTCACCCCCGTCACTATCAGATCATCATCGTCCTCCAACACTGAGTCATAGAACGGCTCTGAGAACAACAACCAAATGTTTGTTTATTTAATTTGGTTATTTGGAATACTCTTAGACACCATCAATAATACTAAGTGACCACAGCAAATCAGCCTACTTTATATTGCATATTTATGAACTGTGGAATCAACTGGCCTCCCACATTAGTCAAGTTTACAGTGTACGTTTGACTTTGGACATGCAAAAGGGAGGTATTTATGGTCACTCTGCTCAATTCCAAATGAAAATAACTAATTTCTTTGTTGGCCTGCAGTGAACAGACAAAAAAAACAAACAACAAATCCAACAAAAAGTAAGGATATTAGGGAAGACCTAAGGTTGAAAAATATAACAGATAAAAATATCTGACTGCAATTTTTATGAGAAATAATATGCAACAGTGACTTAAATTACACTGATTTTCTATACATGGTCCATGTCCATTTTTTTTGGCCATGAACACCAACATATCCACTTTTTCAGGCCTGAGGGTACCAGACTGCAAGTTAGTTGTGGTTGGTGTTTGGTTGCTTCTGACTGGTGTAACTCACCCCCAGACAAAGCTCTGTGTCATTAGGTTAATTTTCCCCACTTAAAACTTACAACAATATTGTTGATACTATGAGCTAAAATTTAAATTGCAACTTTTACAATTTTTAAATTGTGCTCCTGTGATTTTAATAAAAAAAAATACAATTCATTTTTCAACCCTTGTAAGATCATGAACTGTGTTTGTCATACACTTATGAAGATGTGCCAGCTGCATTCCCACAGTGTTTATACTTCTTATGACAGCTGTAGAGTGAACTGAAGCTTGTAAGAGATACAAGTAACATTATTACTTTTATAAAACGGATAGTTCCGGTCCTAAAATCTGCGGTGGAAATTATATATATATAAAATTATTTATTCACCTTCTTGGTTTTTCTATAGCATGAGGGGGTGTAATAAATAATGATGTGGAGACAGGGAATGTGTTGTGCACTGCTGGAGGGAAGTAACTCCCACCTAAATTCAAACTAGCAACCCTGGGCTTGAAAGCCCAACACCCTACCACTGCGCCACTGAATGGTGGGTGAAAAGGAGGGGAAAAAACAAAGAAGACACCAAAATGGCGTCACACAAACAATGGATAAATTCAAGAAACAGACTAAAAACCAAAACACCTCTTAAAGGAGAGCTGGGGAGCTGATTATTTCCTTTTCCTTTTCTTTTCTTTTCATTTCTTTTTTAATTTTGTTTTCCTTGTCTTAAATCAAAACAATGTTTCTTTCTCCTTGTTTCCTTTTTCTTTTTTCCACTCTGTTAACTAGTGTAGTCTGTTTCCTCCTACTTTGTTTGTTTTCTCTTTTTACCCTTTTCTTCTCTTTCTTTTTATCTTTACACCCACCTGTGCTAAAGTACCATACCAGTCACCCCTCTACAAAGGTGTGACAACGGTGTGCTGTTTTCCACAGCCTTAAATGCTGGTACCAACAGGTGCGCCTGGTTGGCACTGATTACTTGGTATTCTGGGATTTTGAGTCTCCCAGAGTAAAAGTGCCTCACCACCGTCACCCTCTGCTGGCAGCCGGCAGCACAGGCTGACCCTTTACAACTGCACAAAAAACCCTTGTGCTGTTAATGGAATAATCTTTGACTCTCATGCTCCTCGCATCGACCTCCGAGCATATTGATGAAGTAAGAACCCGTGTTTTGTTTAAACTGAGGGACTGGCTAGACTAGAACAAGGCTTGTCAGCTAGCTAACGCCCAAACAACTCCATCATTAATATCACAGGCTTGAATTAAAGTCCTTACATTATGATTAACTGTAAACAGAAGCAGAGTCAAACCCAGGCTGAATCCCAAACGGCTCCATACTCCCTAAATAGCATGCTAGCGATGAAAGTTAAGAAATTCAAGCCTCTACAGCCAAATAGTGCATCATTTATCGAGTGTGGATGTGTCTGAATCCCAAACGACTGTTTCTTGGCTGTATTTTGCTCTGTTGGGCTGCAGGATCCAGTATTTAAATTCCTGCATAGTACACTATGTAGAGAACAGGGAGCCATTTGAGCTGAGAAGAGGGGCGCCGCTGAATTGGTGCTAAATAAGACTCGTGGTGGTAATGTGGCGACCAAAAAGTAAATATTGTGTATTTTATCATACTTTGTTGGCCGCTGTTTTATAAAAGCAATAAGCCACTTGAGGCCTTGCGTTACTGTGACTTTATCACATGGAATGGAGTTTAAAAACACCCTTCCCCCTGATAAAATCACAGTAACACAAGGCCTCAAGTGCCTTATTGCTTTTGTATGTTGTAGTTTTAGTGTATCCTCCATTAAACACTTAAACTCAAAGCCTAACTCCTGCTTATAAAACAGAAAGTTGAAGACTTAAATAGGGTTTTTTGTGTGGTTTGAAGCCTCTATTTTTAAGATGATAACTGTATTTTCAAATAACCAAGCCCAGCTCTAGTTCATGTTCTGTATCGCATCGGACTCGCACATTTGGCATTGTATCATGCGCCTTGTCATACTAAACTGTCCTGCATGTTACACAGAGACTGTCGGTCAAGAGGCAGTCATAAATATGCAATACATTTCGGCTCACGCACACACACACACAGGAAAATCAAACAAGTCGACAGAGAAAATGGAAAGTATAAAACACTCGTTTTAAGACTATATTGGGTAAAATTTTGGAAGGTGACCAAAATGTATAAAATTATTTATTACTAAAATCTTTATTTCTGACAGAAATTAAAAAGTTCCACTATACCAGGCCTTGAAAATAAGTCTAAGTAAGTTTTTGACTAAGTGTGCAATATAGAACCAAAGAGAATATCAGGCAAGCAGCTGATAATGTGTCTAAGCAAAACACATAAGCGGAGCTATATTCTTAAATATTCCAAACAAATAGAAATTTCTATTGAGATATTTGAATATCATTCATTTCGTAATGAACAGAACTTACTCTTAAGAAGAACGGCAGGCTGAGGAGGCCGAGGTGGAGGTTGCTCTGAGGCACCATATTGAAGAAAAGAAGATGAAATCCAGAAGGTCAGAGACAAACAATAGTATATGTGAAACGTATGCTTTTAGGAGAGAACACTTTGTGGCTACTATGTAACACGCTTAGTTACATTTGGACTGTAATATTTCAGTAATATTCAGTAACTAGAACCTCCAACTTTGCTTGTTCACTTACTTTTGGCCCGGTTGGGTAACTTAGTGGGCCTGGCTGTGTTTGTCTCCATCCCAAGAACATCAGGGGGATCCATTGGGTTACCCAGGTATAGACTACATGCAAAAGGTGCACACAGTCAAATATTAACCACTGTCGAGGCAGCTAACATTATAGACTTGACTAAGCTCTGGATTACAATAAACTGAAAACTCACAAGCAAGTCTATTTTTATTCTAAGTACGCTGTGAACTATTCATCAACCAAAACGTAATCTTGTGCTGCACTCTAGTGGTGAAAAGCGGAAAATCACTGTAGATTTATGAATGAAAGAGAGATGAAGAATAAAAAGGATCAATTTTTCAAACTAGCAAAGCCCATTTCTAGACTAAAAAGCTGTCTACAGAGAATCCCTTCTGCCTGAATCATTTAGACCAAAACAAAGCTTAATTTTATCTGGAAAACAAAATCCAGAAACAGTAAGGAAAGCTTGACAAAGGGAAGACGATAACGATGCCTTACTCATCGATTTTATCAGGGGCGCCCCAGCTGCGGTGAGGGTCTGTGTCTCCGTGGCCCGTGTGGATGAAACTGTGTTTGAGTGGCCTGCTGATGTCATGAGCAGACAGGCCTGCTACAGAGGTCACCACATTCCTGGGAAACTGACCGACCTTCAGGGTTTGTCTGTTCTGCCCTCTCCACCAGTAGTTCTCCGCCCTACAAGCCAGATAAAGGGTCTCATTTTAACCAGAGTCTATTTAGAGACACATCTTAAGTCATCCCTTCCAAAAGGTCACATTCATTTCACAGTAACACAATACACACGTGGTTTTTGTTCACTTCACATGTTTTGAATGTGTTTTTTGCACACTTCAAATGCATTACGTTAAAAAACGTGTTACCATATGTGAAAAAACTTGTGATTACTTGTAAATGTAACTTTTCTGTAAGGGATTATGTGTCCTAGACCAGGGTTTCTCGACCCCTGAGTTAAGGACCATAAGTGGGCCGCAAAGGACCCCTTGGTGGACCTATACTGAGGAGGGCCTGTAATCTGTAGCGGGCCTGTGATCGCACTTAAAAATAATTGACTTAACAAAAATATAAGAAATACAAATGTTTGACAGATAACATTAATACAAGCCCCACAATAACAGTGCACTAAGGCAGTTTCATCAATTTTTTCCCCTGTGCCTCTAGAAACACCTGACCTTCTAGTTGTCCACTCACACCAATATTCTGCTGATATTTCATGTTCACTGATACACATCACGTACTGCAAGAGTAGGTCCCCAAATATCATTTTAAGCAAAAACGTTGAGCTTTGTTTTCTTGTGGGCCTTCCTGCTTTCTAGTGAAAAACAGGTGGGCCTTGAGGCGGAAAGGGTTGAGAACCCCTGTCCTAGACCACATCGACAAGCCGATGCAATCTTAAAGCTACACTATGTAAGTTTTGTTCCTCTGTGGAAATGTGCATGCGCATGCAACGAGTGGAAGAACACGTGTATCGTCAGTTGTGCTTCGAACCCCTTCCTTGGCCCATATTTATCAAGCATTTACAAGTAAGCACACTGCCCTAACATCAGGTTTCATCAGTTCCTGTAAGTCTATTCAGCGTTATATAAAAGCTGTAAGCTGACCGCAGATCAGCATTCTTTCTGGGAGGAGTTATAAATGTGGCCCCTGAGCGGATGAACCTGATGATTGAAAAAAATATTCAAAGAGAACTTAACATGATAAACAGCACGTCTTCTGACGATATCTACTACTGTCATCTTCATCAGCATAATACTAATTTTGCATTTGAAACGTAAACATCTAACTGAATCTGGTTTCTGAGCCTGTTTATGTGATATTAATATGTAAAAGCATATGATGTGGTTTAAAAACTCATCCTGACACCTCTGACTTTTAATTTACAACTTCAGGTTTTACAGGTTGACTCGCAGCAGCGCACCCACACCATATTTTTGAATGTTTTCTTCTCCTGACTCAGCAATTATGCTTCCTTCAATTTTAACAAAAATTGTGAAGACTGCAATTTGAGCGGGTTGAGAGAAGTTTTAGGGATGCATTTACGGAATTGATTTCTAGTGTTTGTTAGCAACGTAAGCCTCGTAGCTCCAGTGAGAGACTAAAGAAGTGAAATATGGTCAACAAACATTTCTTGGCTGAGTGACTACATCTGTGGTAACTAGAAAATTGTGTAAATTTGATTTTTCCACCGAACCACTGCTTCAATAAAAGGGTATCTGAAGTAGGATACACCACTGATAGGTGGATCAATTAGATACACATTTCTGTGCTTATCCTAGGTGTAATGATGTCTGACAAGACACGTACAATTACTGCCTGAATGAAATTACGTTTACATATGATCACAAAAAGAACAACCCTCCGAGCTCTGAAAACTAGTGAAGTAAAGATGGAGGCTTAGAGATCATACTGACCTGCCTTCAATGATAGTGATAACATCATTGGCATGAATCTTCAGCTTGTCTGGCTCATCAAAATCTTGCAGAGCCCTCATGTCTGTTGGCATGGTCTACATAGACGTATTATACAGAGACATATTATCACGGAGGTTCAGTAGCCCAAGTCTGGTGAGCTCCAGATTAAGCGAAACAATGTAAGATCTCCACTTTGTGACCATCTGATCTCAACTCTCACCTCCACTAAGAAGTCCCTGAGGGCCACAAATGTAGGCCTGTCCTCAGGTTTCGGGGACCAGCTCTGCAACATGACGTTGTAGATGTCCTGTGGACAATCCTCTGGTTTAACCAGCCGCTCACCTTCTTTATCAATCTTATGCAGGATCTGAAGAAGGAGGTACAGATTTAATCTAGTCTTCAGGTATATTCACTGCTGCGCTTCAGCACAGAATGCATTTTATTGTATAGGACTACTGCTGAACGAAAACTCTGGAGCATTCTGTAAGAAAGAGCAGAACAACTCAAACAAAGTCACTTTATATATGCTACTGATAAACTGAGTTGAATAATCAGGTAGTTTGAGTGAGGCAAGTCTGTACCTGGCTGCCATTGAGGCCGAGCCATGGCTCCTGGCCATGAGTGAACATCTCCCACAGGGTCACTCCAAACATCCAGGTATCACTAGCATGGGAGAAGGTACGTGTTTTCAGGCTTTCCGGAGCACACCTGTTACAGCACACGGAGAGAGTGTGATAGGACAAGAAGGAGAGAGAGAGAGAGAGAGAAGAAAGACAGAAATGCAGCAAGGCACATAGGGTTTGTTTACACAGCACGGCAAATCAGATTTGTTCCTTAATTTTTAGACTAAATGTCCCTGTATTGAAAGTTTTAACTAACCAAATATGGTTTACATGGTAAGAATGCCATCATATTTGCTTGCATAACAACACTGTTTATGGGGACAGGCAAAACAATGGGTGTGCATAAATAACTGACCAGTGAGAAAATCTTCTATGTAGTAATTAGGCCTGAGCGACTGAGCATTGTGATCGCATTTAACCAGTGATTAACCAGTAACCTGATGACAATGCTTCAAAGACGATCATCACCATGTCGGTTAATAAGCTATTAGGCTACGGTAGAGTACATTTTCCACTGCCCTGATGACGTTTTCCCAGGAAAAAACTAAATTCTTTCCTTGCAGCTTAAGTGTCCTGATGGATAAGTTGTAAAATTATGAAAATATAATATATTCCACTACAAAGACAGAAAAAACTTGCCTTTTAAATATGGACGGTATGTGGACGTGGATTCGGAATTAAATCGTGCATGTTTTGCAATCTGAAGTATCTGCACAAGGATGCAATTTACTTTTCGTGTGCATCATTTAAAGAGAGGAAACAGCCACAAACCCACACCAGCTCATACAAACTACTTAATGTTATAGTTTTTTAAATAATCCATTTTGGTTATTATCACACTAATTTAAATAGAAATTATAATAAAATTTGGATATTTTCACAGATACAAAAAAGCTGTTATCAATAATGGCCAACATTGTCAGCCGACCGATATATCGGTGGGGCCGTACATTCAAGACCCACCAGCGTCTTCACTATGACAGTCAATATGGATATGCATATACATGGTATAGAGTCTGATCTTACAGATCGGATTTGGCAATGTGAAACTTGCAACACTGGACGTAAGAAAAAAAATCCCTTTTTGCTTTTCTATGTGAAAAAAGTCCATTTCTTTGTCTCTTACCAGGCGAAGGGCACTTTGTGGTGCTCTTGCATGACATAATGATCATCGTTTTTGGGAAGAGCCCTCATTAGGCCGAAGTCTCCGATCTTGACCAGGTCGTTTGAGGCTAGCAGGATATTTCGGGCGGCCAGGTCACGATGAATGAAGCGGCGGGACTCCAGATAGGCCATTCCGCAGGCGATCTGCACTGTGTAGCGACACAGCACGGAGATCAGGATATGACCCTGCCTCTTCCTGAGCCTGTCCAGCAGAGAGCCCAGCGGAGCCAGCTCCGTCACCTGCACCAGTAACATAACATCAACACGGTGCGCTCACACATACAGTCCACTGCAACAGCAAACATTCTTCAAGCTCAAGGAGAACTGCAAAAACAGAACTTAACAGGAACTTATCAGGACATACAGTCCAACTGTAAGATAGTTGGAGAGTGATGATGGTAGGTAGATATGGGCAAACGAGCTCTCCTACTGATTTGGCCTTCAGGAGCTTAAGTGAAAGGCTTACACATTAGATTATCCACCAGTGTAAGTAGGAAGTGACAGTGGAATCAAGCAATTACATTTAAATTTCCAGTGGGCATGACCAATTTTCATAAGAGGAAAAAAAAACACCATCTCTCTATGCCTTGTGGAGGTTCTAGATACATCACAGAATGTGAGTGTAAGTGGTAGCCTAACTAGGATTCAGTGAGTGGTTACAAATGGAAAACAGCAGCAGCTCTGTGCCAAGGTTTGTTACTGAGTCACTGTAAAACTGCAATACAGAAGATAATGCCGGTCTTCACCAAACGACTTTTCAAGCGATTTCACTGTTGCAGACAACTTTCCAATGTCAGAATAAAATTGTGTGAGTCTTGCTAGAGTTGCGTCGCGCTCGCATCATCTCCATCATTTAGTGTGAGGTGGTCAGGAGAGAAAGCATGCGTGAGTGTCTAAAATCTCTGTAAAAAAGGCAAATCTGCTCCACTTTAATACAATCATATTAACTTCAAATGTAAACTGCCTGCTTCAATATTTCAGGTTCACTAAGCGTAACAGTGATATAAGGAAATGTGCAGAGGACTTTAAGAATGGCTTTTCTTTTGCTTTCTGTTACAGTGGTTTTTGTATTTTGTTCGTTTTTAATGGTTTAGTTCATAACACCCAATCAACAATGCTGAATCGCTGCATGTTTTGTTGATGTGCAAATCTTTATGTCGAATTAAAAAAGTAACTGCACATTTTACAGGTTTATTAAAATTCTGGGTGATGATCTGCCAGAATATACAGTTCTACAGTGAACTGGGCTGAGCATCAGATCTATACATGTCCAGCCAATGTATTTTCCAATCGGTACCACTATAGTGGAAGGAAAAGTGCTTATCTACTTGTAAATTTCCACCAGGTGCATGATGGGAAATAATCTCAAAAATCTTGTTGCAGTCTTGTAAATAGTGACCCTGCAAGATCCCCAGTCTTTGCAAAATCATAGTCTGTGACTAAAAACAATTGTCTTCAGATGGGAGAGGGTGTCAGACTTTAGGCTTCCAAAGTCTTCTAGTGTATGGTTAGCATAAAATAGGTCTGTTGCAAGCTTTAAATAAAACATGGAATATCTTTTATGAGCTTCAAATATCTGTGTTTTATTTAGACTGAACAAAAATTCAGTACAAAGTACATTGCATAGCTATACGCTGCAGTAGCAGCCAAATAGAAAGCTGATTTTTATCCATATTTTTGTCTTTGTCATTTTTATGCACATAAGCTAATTTTATATGACTTTGAAGCTTACCATCTTCATGGGGTGTGTGAGGACCACTCCATACAGCCGTATGAGGTTTTGGTGGTCCAGAGAATGCATGGCATTCACTTCCTGTATGAAGTCGTCCAGACTCTCTGTCTGGTCCAGCAAATCAGTCTTCAAGCACTTCACTGCAACATTAAGCTGTGTAAAAAAACAGTAAAATAATTAACCAATACAGTCTTCTCTATATAAACAGACTACAGAATCAGACAACAACTTGCAGGTCATGTAAAAAACAGCCACATTGCAGGTCTGGAAGGGTCACCAAGTTGCTCACACCAAACCACTCTGAATGACTTTGTTGACACATTAACCATTTAATTATGCAGAAATTTTGAAAATCAGTGGAGTTCCCCTTTAAGAGCAGGTTTTGCCTTAATAATTACTTGACAGTGGTCTTTTGCAAACTGTCATTTAAAGCTTTTTTTTTGCCTTTTTGCTTAAAGGTGGTTTAAACGCCTGAAAGGTTTGAGTGCTGATGAGACCTAACATCAAAACAAGGGTGGGCAGGGGGTTGGCATTGTTTCCAACTAATGGATTTTGCTAAGAAAATTTGCAAAATCAAACAGCTTTCTGTGTCGTATGTTAGGTTATTGCGAAACAACAAAGAAAACATGCTAATTTCTATAAAAACATTTTGAAAAGCTGGGTCCATGCAGTGTACTCCTCCAATATAAAGCTATTTTTAAAAAATAGTCAAATAATTATGTGAATGGATGACATGCTAATGACTCAATCAGCATTGCTCATTCATCCTCCCCATCTGCTTTGGTACATTTGCTTGCACTGGCACAAACAGAACCTCAGGGCCTGTACGCTCTATATAAGCCAGTACAAATGCCATCTGTTTATCCCTCTCTTCACTCACCAGCTGCATGATATGGATAAAATACCACATCGCGATTATTCTGCTACATATTGTGATTGTGATATGCCCTGTAATAAATTAAAATACACTAAAATAATAAAGCTAAAGACTGGCCTACATTACAGTAATTGCACCGTACAGCACCCCGTCACTGTGCCGGGACATTATTGTATACTAAGCTACTGACAGGACACGCTCACTGAGCACCAACTGGACTATATTTCTCTACTCATTACTATGCACTGCCATTTTGTATATACATCCATAAATATTGTATATTGCACTGCCACTTTGTTTATACATTCATTATTATTGCATATTGCACTGCCACTTTGTTTATACATTCATTATTATTGCATATTGCACTGCCACTTTGTTTATACATCCATACACATTGCATATTGCACTGCCACTTTGTTTATACATCCATAAATATTGCATATTGCACTGCCACTTTGTTTATACATCCATTAATATTGCAAAATACCCACTGCCACTTTGTTTATACATCCATACATATTGCACTGCCACTTTGTTTACACATCCATAAATACTGCATATTGCACTGCCACTTTGTTTATACATCCATTAATATTGCATATTGCACTGCCACTTTGTTTATACATCCATACACATTGCATATTGCACTGCCACTTTGTTTATATATCCATTAATATTGCATATTGCACTGCCACTTCATTTATACATCCATTAGTATTGCATATTGCACTGCCACTTTGTTTATATATCCATACATATTGCATATTGCACTGCCACTTTATTTATACATCCATACATATTGCATATCGCACTGCCACTTTGTTTACACATCCATAAATATTGCACTGCCACTTTGTTTATACATCCATAAATATTGCATATCGCACTGCCACTTTGTTTATACATCCATACACACTGCATATCGCACTGCCACTTTGTTTATACATCCATACACACTGCATATCGCACTGCCACTTTGTTTATACATCCATACACACTGCATATCGCACTGCCACTTTGTTTATACATCCATACACATTGCATATCGCACTGCCACTTTGTTTATACATGCATTAATATTGCATATTGCACTGCCACTTTGTTTATACATCCATAAATATTGCATATCGCACTGCCACTTTGTTTATACATCCATACACATTGCATATCGCACTGCCACTTTGTTTATACATGCATTAATATTGCATATTGCACTGCCACTTTGTTTATACATCCATAAATATTGCATATCACACTGCCACTTTGTTTATACATCCATAAATATTGCATATTGCACTGCCACTTTGTTTATACATGCATTAATATTGCATATTGCACTGCCACTTTGTTTATACATCCATACACACTGCATATCGCACTGCCACTTTGTTTATACATCCATTAATATTGCATATTGCACTGCCACTTTGTTTATACATCCATAAATATTGCATATTGCACTGCCACTTTGTTTATACATCCATAAATATTGCATATTGCACTGCCACTTTGTTTATACATCCATAAATATTGCAGTAAAGAGCAACTTTCCCTCTGGGATTAATAAAGTTATTTATCTATCTTGAATATAATTCTTTACCATTGTGGAATCACGTATGGATCATCGTGGATCAAAATACCCACCAAAACACACCTGTTACAACTGACATTGTTCAAACACACATTTTATTCAGCTGCATACTGTCGCCTTTTCAATATTCATACTGCATAAACCAACAATAACAATATCACTTAAACAATATATTGTGCAGCCCTACTCACCACTCCTCCAGAGGGGGCCTGCCACTCTCCACGCTTCACCACCCCGAACGAGCCGTCTCCCAGCTTCTCGAACAGTGTGAGGTCCCGGTCGCTGATGAGGCAGGTGAGGGCAGATGGCTGACCTTCGCCCTGACCAGGGGTGGGAGATAAACCCCGGAACACAGCGTTGGTCTGGGAGTCCGACTCAGGTCGCTTCCCCGTGAACACCTGTTGTCCCAGGTACAGAGACTACAGCTGAGAGTGATTCCACCTGCCTCTGACCCATCCACAGCACTGACCAGTCACAGCAATGAAGCTTTTTCAGTGTTTAGTAGAAATGTAATAATGCAACTGAACTGATTTTGCAGTGTCAGAATCCATTATAGTGTGTTCTCAGCAGAGCCTGTGTACTTATTTTAACTTAGAATATCAATAAAACATCATTTGACCAGTTGTATGCAAAACTTCTAAAATTTTCTAAGTGAAAATCAGTTAACAAAGTTGCACATTTTAATGCATTTTAATGCACAGTTTAATGCACAATTCCTGTTTATAAAAAAAGATGAATGAATGAAGGAAGCAATAGAAATGAACAAAAATAACTTTGAAAAAAACACTTTGGAGGTTTTGTTGTGATAGCGACTGTATTTTATATATATGTATATAAACACACACACCCACTCATATATGTACATACACACACTTACACACATATATGTTAACTAGAATTCAACTGCAAGAATAAATATAGGAAAAAACGACCCAACATTTAATTTAAAAAAGCATATTGTTTTTATTGTTTTAATTGTGCATATTTCACTACTGTTTAAATAGCTCCTCCAATTACATTGTGTATTCAGTGTGCTTGCAAGTATAATTTTGAATCATATCAAAATAATCTAATCGATCAAATCAAATCGTACCAAAATCTGAGATTTCATGATGCACCGAGAATCACAATGAAATCAAATCATTTTACGATTGTATGAGATTTACACCCTTGTTGTTCAGGCAAAGCTTGTCAAATCAGTCGAGCGAAGCACTTCAGTTCTGTTTTCCGAGATCAGTCAGATTTGAAATGTGAGAGTGAAAGTGCCTGAGGGCCTTGTGAAACCACAGCGTACCTTGCTCATCCAGGACTTGCGTTTACACATCGCTCTCCTTCTCTTCACTGCTTCCCACAGCCGTCTCTGACCTTCAGAATGAGAGAAATAAATTTTTTATCAGGCCTTATCCCAGAGTGTAATAATCTCTCATAATTACCAGTATGACATTTCTCATATCTCTTAAATGGTAACTTTACATGAAAAGGAAACTTTTAATGGAAGATAAGGTAACAAGACTCTTTTATAATTTTATCATTTTCAGGTAATTTCGGACCATTTCTATTGTTGTGTTCACCATTAAATTTTGACACAATTCAAACTGTAGTTTTAAATTTATGCAAAAAGTAAAAACAAGGTTTTTGCATGACAGTGATGATATGCATGTGTTATACATGATCTCTTACTGTATAGCCATTGTTTTTTATGAGATTATACATAAAAATGTATTTCCAAAATCCAGCTTTACAAGACTAACGCTAATCAGTATTGCCCTTCACATAAGAATAGTAGATATAAGAACAGTTTTAGATAATAGTAAATAAATGTGATTGATAAATGTGTTCTTTGGAATTCTAACATAAATCATTACTGTTGTCGTACCCAGCATGCATGCAAAGCATTTGCGTAAGTCTTTCCTGAAACCTAAAGCAGCACAAACATTCTCATTAAACTCTGATGACTGACATGCCACAGAAGTTTAGAGGGTTAAATTTTCCCCACAGGCTGAGAAAATATTTAAGGAGAAGAAGAACTTTAAAGCAAGATGAGTCACACGCAAGAAAGCAACCCAATAAACGCTCAGAGAATTCTTCCTTCTGAGTCATTTCTGGACTCATTCAGCCATTACCACTCGTCACACTGACGGAGGCGCTGTGAGCATGGATGACTCAGTCCTGACACCTGCAGTTAGTTGTGTGTGTGTGTGTGTGTGTGTGTGAGGGGGTGACGTGGGTGCCCACCTGGCCGCCCCATGCCGATTTTCTCCAGATCCTCATTCTTCACGTAGTCGAAGTGCGAGAGGCGCGTGACGTTGAGGTCGTCACGGATACGGAGGAAGTACTGCTGGAGCTGCACATCAGTCAGCAGCTCCATGAGCCACTCCGTCCCAGCCTCGTCTGACTGCATGGCTCCTCCAACTGCCTGCAAACATACGTATTCACAGGTAGTAATGATAATGAAGGTTAACACGTCAATGCATCATTTTCTTAAAATCAAAAGCACTCTATGATGTTCTATAATGTTCAAATTAGGGTTCTGAAACTGTCAATTAATTGATCACGATTAATCTCATTCCTTTATGTACTTAAATCGCAATTAATCGCATTTGTGATGCAAGTTTAACCTCAAGAGAGGTTTTCTCCAGTTAAAAAGCAGAGCATTTTGTTATGACTATATAAGTGGACATTAATAAGATTCATCAGAATGCATTCACTTTCAACAATTCAGAAACATTATTTTCATTGTGTGAACCTGAACATGAAAATCCTGTGAAGGCGAGGTAAATATAAAAACAGATGAATGCCAGTTTTTAATCACCTACGTCCAGTGAGAGCATCAGTGGCTGCATGTTTCAACTCTGCGACTTTAGACTCTCGCTCTCATTTTTGTTCATAAAGCTTGTGGATTCTTGTTACAGTGGAGGCTCTTGAAGGTAAATGGAGCTTTCTTCTTGGCTTTTGTTAGTTCGCTCTTGTTAATGTATCCATAGTTCTCTCTCGAGCCCTGTCCAACATAGTCCGTCGAGTTACTGATATTGCCAGCGGCAGTGGTGTGTTTCGCTTGTAAATGTTATTTCAGACTTGATGTACTTCGGTGCTAAACAAATTCACAGCATTGTGGAACCTGGAAATAACCGGTTTTATCCAGAGAGCCTTCAATGGGACTTGCAATCTGTCAGAATGTTGTGTGCATAATATGAACTAGCGGTGTCAAAGCTAAAGTGTAAATAACGCATTAAAGGCATTAAAAATGAGTGGTGTTAACAATTTAACTAGTTAAATTTGATCCACAGTCTTTCTGACAGATTGAAATACACTACTACACTGATTACAGCAGTTAGGTGCCGTCCGAGAAGGATCAAACCTACAAATCAGAATCTGCCGGGCTCTGTTTTAAATATATCATCAGGAATTGGTCAATCTCTCCATCTGGAATAATAAATCTGATCCAATTTGTGACACAAAATATAGAAGCCAAATTGTGCTACATGCACTACAACGATCATCAATCTTGCAGATTTTTATACATCTGATGCACATAAAACAACTGCAATTTGCAATGTTTATAAATCTAATGTGTCTCATAGAGGAAACAAAACAAAAAAGTTTGTGCTGCCTTTTGCATTTTTGTTTCTGGATCTTACCATCCCCGACACCCTGGATCAGTCTTGGCAAATTCCGCCTACAGAAAACTAGAAATTGAATTGACCTGGCAAAACTTTGATTGATTTACCAATTTGCTACAATGTCAGCAACCTTGATGAATGAAATTAAGATTTAATTATTTTTGAAATTCACCTATATTTTTCCCTAATGTGTCCAATACCTATGTAATAAGCTATGCAATAGTTTATCACACAAAGCTACTAAAGACACATGCTTCCTCCGAGACACAAGCAGCTACTCATCGCATCTTTTTGAACTGCTGCAAACACAGCATCAATGGGCAGCTCAACATCCTTGTAGAAGAACGCTAACTGACAATTATGTTACTCTCACAGATGCCTGCATTGGATAGCATCATTCTGAGTGATGGGGGGATAGGAAGGGCCATGCTACCTACCCCAAGAGAGTGAGGCCAATTCTCTTGGAGTTCACTCAGCCGGGATCAAACTAGCGATCTCCTAACGACAGGACCACCAATCACATTTGTGTGCCTCTTGGATGTCCTAAACTGTCTCATTTTGACACTGATCGGCAACGTTGATGGTAAATTGTTTGTTCGTGTATTAGGCATCCACAACTCCAATCATTAGCAAGTGAAAATGTAAAAGATTGACATCGAAGCAATGCACAAATGCAGTCACAAGATTAGCTGCAAACAAAAAGACTCAGCACTGCAGCAAATTAGGTCTACAGATTATAGACGATAGATATTTTAATGAGCACCACTTCTTTCAAATACGAACAATATTGTGTACGAGATATTTAAAAAAGATGAGGTTTTGAAAACTGAATATCCCCCAACCCGAGACCATAGTAACAGCCTAACATTTGCCCGGTTAAAGAGACCACGCATACAAACACACCAATGACCACCAATCCCTTCACCAGCTCCCATGCAATCCCCAGGCCCTTACCTCTTCTGTCTCATCATGCTGCGGGTGGTATTCTGAGGCGCCCCCCATTTCCACCGGCCTCAAAGCCAAAGCTATGAGTGTGCAGTAGTCAGAGAGAGTGCTCCGAATCTGGCTCCCGCAGGGTGTGTCCCGATTCCACACTCAACTGTCGACTCCCCCTCCTAGACTGGATATTGTACTGCACTTCTCCTCAACTACCCACTTTCAAAATCTACCTAATGGCTGCAAAGATTTAAGGGCGTATCTGATGCCGTGGCAACACAGAGCTTTTCTTCTCCACGTCACTTAAGCTTTCTGCTCCTGGGACCTTTCGGACGCACTAAAAATGCACAAATAAGCGTTCCAGTCTTGCTTTCCAAACCCAGGTCAGTATACCCTGCCCTAAAAAACCACCATGCAAAAAACCCTCCGTCTCTTCCTTTCTTCTCTCATTACTGCCCTCTGACCATGCAGTAACGTGCCTAGCTCATTTTAGCTGAGTCACTGCAGAATTGCAAAGCTCGAGGCAGACCTCAGTACACCTCTACTACTCTCTGCTTGTCCGCCTGCCCACCCTGCCACTCTCACTGCCCTCAAACCACTTATTTCAAATCCTTCCCATGTCACTGTGCAGGTTGACCAGGTGATGTGGTTGCCTTCATCTTCCTGGAACCCATTTTGAGTAAAGGGTTGGTGGAGGGTTCAAATACTTATAGTCATTCCATGTGAAATCACCAAAGGCCTCCCAACTGACCATCTCAGACAAAATAATATTTTTAGGCATGTATTTGCATTACTTTAGGAAATATTGCTGGACAAACACCAACAAACATTGGTTGGCGTGCTATACCGGGAGAATCTAAAATGTTTGCCTCTTTTCCACTGTACAGCCAAATGGATCCCAGGGCCGTACTGTGCCGTTCCGCACTGGTACGGACTTGTGAGACTTGTAATGGTTTCTTTTTCCATCTGTTGTGCTGCAAAATCAGGAAATACTGGAGAAAAACTACAGACAAGAGTGGCTCAGCAAGAGCTAACAGGTTAACAGCTACACACACCACAGAACAGTGTCACTCCAGAACTAGTCAGTTAAGCTTGTGCTCTCAGATATTAGTCTTTATCCTTTAAATGTGTGTTTTTAAGCATCCGTTAGCTAGAACTGAGCCTGTACTTTGGTGAGTGGCCCCTTTAGTCTGCAAGCTATGCTACCATTAGCTTAGTCCAGCAGGCTACAGAGCAAAACACTACAGGATAGGTCATTTTTCGACTTTGGCTGTCACTCCAACTCCAGTCATCTACACTTGTAAGAGCAGGGCACCAGTTAGTTGGAATCTAACTTGTACTGGAGGAGTCGGCTAGCATTAGCCTAACATGGAGTCTACAGATTCAAACACCACAGAGCAGGTTTAATTTCGGCTTGCTGTCCTGCTAATAAGTCTAATAAGCATCTAAACTTGCGTCAGTGTAGCTTCTGTAAGTCAGAATCGAAGCTCTTCTGTGGTGAGCAGAGCCGGTAATCTGCTAGCTAAACTAATGCTAGCCAGCTCCTCTCTAGTTAGCAGCACCATTTAGCATTTAGCAATTGTTGATAGATTGATAGTTTGATAGTGTTTGATTGGTGGACTGAAAATCGTGCTCTGCTTTCAGTTATGCGCCGATCGTGTAAGTGAACTGATTTTATTTAATGGTTCTCGGTTTTGAAATAATGCAGAACGCGGTGGCGCAACACTGATGTTTAAGCAATAGAACATGAGAGGGAGTGTGTTATCGCAAAATAATATTGATCATCACAGCCGTGATGTAATTTGCGATAACACACGATCTTGAGTGTTCTATTCCTTATATACAACAGTTAAATAAAGTAAGAAATTAATAAACTGGGCAGTGAACGCGGCATTTAACATGCTTTAATGTTCGCAGTTCCTTCCGCCAAATTATAGTTCCTTAACATGCAGTTTGTTGCTACGTCAGAGTAATGAGCTACACTCGCTGCACAGACAGCAGTTTGTTCTCCAGCTTCTTACACTAAATTCCCAAACTGTCATCACCACTGAGCAGCTTTTTTGTTTTTATTGCGGCAGTTGTACGGCTCAGTTCGATTTGGTCAGACTCTGAAGATCAGACTACACGTTTGGCGAATGGTACTGGGCTCATTTCTGGCTGATTCCAGGTTGTTTAGCTGTTCTTCTGTCACAGCTGCCGACTGAAAGCTGCTCAGTGGTGATGACAGTTTGGGAATTTAGTGTCGTCTCATCTTCAGAGTCTGACCAAATCGGCTGGTGGTCAAATGTGATCTTAAAAGTGTCCATTTTCTGTTTGTGGCAAAGTAAGAAGTTAAAACGTTCAAATTGCTTGAGCTCGTTGCTTAGCATTGGCGTCTCAGCGGAGTGATACAGTGTTTATGAAAAACCTGTGATGTTATGGCGAAATATCAGCATGGTAAGAACGCTTCTCAACCAATCAGCTTGTGCGGCCGGAACTAACTGTTGTATATAAAAGTAGAGCCAATCAGAGACTAGCTATGTCATTATGTCATTACACCAAATGGTTCTGCAGCCTTGAGAACGGTTAGCTAACCGTGTCGAGGACAGTGTGCTGAACATGGCTTGTAAGCAATCAATGTCAAACAGTGTCCGTGTGGAAAGGCCACTGGAATGGTCACTCTCCCTGCTCAAAAACAGAAGAAAGAGATCATTGTTTTCCCTAATTCACTCCGAATAATCTGGCTCATTATTTCTTCTCTGGACATTTTAAGAGAACTGCAAACTGCAAGAGAACTGAGTTGGTGTTCACTGCTGTTTAGCGCTAGTCCTACCCACGTACTACTGACGAACAAGCTTAAAACACTTTAATTATTTAGAAATCACATGGGTTAAAGTTTGGCTTTCTGAACCACCTTCAAATCCAGACTGGGGCTCATTCTTTCTGTGGACACCACTGAGAGAAAAATGGCCAAAGGAAAAAAAAATCAGAGCTGAGGGAGGCTGTTTGTAAGTGCTAACAAAGACAGCTAGCTTGACAACAGAACAAAATGTCTGTCTCAACTCAGCAAAGATACTTAAAATGCACTGAGGTAAACTGTTTGTATTCATAAGCTGAGCTCCAGTGTGGTGCTGCTAGAAGATCTGACGTTTGCGCTGTCATCTCTCTTCTGTTGTTAAGGATGCGACCGAGAAGGCAGAGATAGTGCTAAGATGGCTAAATAAGTTGCTACTGTTAGCTGCATGGGTCCAAAAACACTGAAAATGTATTTCTCTAAAAAACATGTCATGTTTTCTTGCAGGCACAGCCAACTGTATGGCTAACACAGATAACGTATTAGCAAACGGTTAGCTGTGTTAGCTCATTAGCTCATGGGAGGCAGCCGCCGTTACTCACCCAACACAAAAACGTACCGATTTTCCTCACCTATTTTAAGTAATGAAACGTTCATTACATTTTTTCCTTGTCTGCGGTTAACAGGTTATCTAATCATACGTCTGATGGTCTGAATTTGGCTTATATATTGCAGCCAACTACTTTTTACGTCTTTTCAGTCTCAGCGGTGTGTGATAAGAACATGGCTTTGCTTTCTACACACTCTTCAACAGCTCAATTAATAACGACTGATTTAACAGTAACTCTATTCACACTGAAGTTTATTCATTTCACAGAAAACTTACATCCTTATCGAAATGTCTTAGCTATGCCAAACTAGTGACTCGTGCCGACATTACGCCCCCACTGAGCTGAAACAGTGCAAAGGTTTGCTGGGAGATGTAGGACTATCGCGTTGTATGTTCTCGAATAAAATTATTTTAACATCCCTAAAACTGTCCCACAAAATGACATGATTTTTGAAGGCTTATCAAAGTCCTTAGCAAAGTTCACTCAGCAGCCATTTTTGCAACGCCGCCGGGCAGCTATTTCCAGCCATATAAGACCAGCCTCCTCTCTCTATGAACAAAGAGAGATCAAAAGTACTTGAAACTGAAATTAATGTCTTAAAATGTATTCAAAGTCAGTGATGAAGTCAAAAACATCATAAATAGCTTGTAGCAACTGACTCAAAAGATACGCTTTTTTAGGTTGCTCTGGCTACTGCGCCTGCGCAGATCACAACAAGGACGAGGGGTTCACCCCGCAAGCGGCTTAACCATCAAACTAACTGGCTCTTTCTTCTCGAAGGGCAGGACTTTCTCTGCAAACAGTCACCATGTTGAGCGTTTCCAGCCTTCCCATTCATATTTCAACCAGTGACCGGTCTCCTCCTTTATATATCTCTGTGCTCACTTCGAGGGCTGGAAAATGGATCGAGCCCATTTGAAAGCATGGATGGTCACCTTGAAACCAAATATTCTAGAAAACTGCAGCCAAACAAATCAACTCTCAAACATGCGATCAGAACATTCTGCTTCTCTCAGCGCTCCTGAATTATTCAGCCTCCACAGTGAGCGGGAGGAGAGCGTGACTACTGGAGGAATGAAGGAAGGGGGGGTAGTGAGAGCAAGAAAGAGAGAGAAAAATAAAGAAAAAGAGATTGTGACAGAGAAAGGGACAGAGAAATATGGGGGGGGGTGTTTTAACACAAAATCAGCCTTATTTTTTATACATATATTTAATTAAACTCAAATCAGACTAAATGAATCATCAGCATTGAACAGCGTAAAGGCTTCATAAAACTTTGGTATCTGGGGCACGGCTAAGAGACAAAATAGCACAGGACATCTATAGCCTTCAGGCAGATTTCCACTGAGACAACAGGCATCAAGCCTGGGTGTGAAAATGAGACAGTGAATGATGTGACAGGTTGAGCCAAAAGACACACACACAGCCATTTACTTAAACAAGATAGGCAGCAACTGTACTGATGCCCTACAAAAAATAAAGAAAATATTCGTAGCTGTTACTGCTTCATACAAAGAAGACAGATGGTTGTACACTTCCTAATGAGAATAAGCCAAAACTGGAGAAGGAACAGTGCTACTGTACAGCCCTATAGAAGTCAGTGAGTTTCTTATTTAGGTCGTTCTAAATATGGAGCCACTATATATAGACCTAGTCTATTGCAGTAAGCCAGGCATTTGCTCTATAGAGCGTATCTCAAGGTCCGGCAGCAGAGCAGCAGCGTGCTAAAGACTGTGTTACTTACAATAACGATGTCCTCTGTGGTGGTCTTACAGTTAGCTAACGCACAGGGTGTACAGTGAGGTCACAAATCAGGTTAGGTACTGCCCAAACGTGGACACAGGCTTGAGCGGTCTGGAAACATCTACATCCGTCCTTTCATGTGGCATCAGAGTTAAGGCAGCATGTAATGTGGCCTATTTATATGATTGTTTATACACTCTTCTTTAATCACAAATGTATGTAACATTGCAAAAGTATTAACAAATATACAATCCTAGAGTAACTAAATAATCATCTCTTTTTTAATTGCATAAATAATCAATGAATGATTCAGGCCTAATACTGAGCAGTAAGGAGCCAAGGCCTTGTGAAAAATAATTAAAACCTCTCACTTAGTTAAAAAAAATGCCCTGGGTCAGCAACGGTTAATGCATTTTGGATTTTATTTAGGTCCCTCATGCCACTTGTGCCACTAGTTTTCCAACTTCTCGTCATCCTTTGAATGAAAAAGGCTGTTATTATGCCTTTAAAACTGACGTTTGTATACCTATCGTCGCTGTCCAAAGAAACACAAGTGTCTCCAAAACAGTAACTTTACAGGAGAGGGCAAAAACACTCTTCACTTTCAATGTAAGTTAATGTAAAGAGATTTTATTCTAAATAATTTTAGAGCATTTCTATTGGTCCATTCATCATGAATTTTTTTATACAACGTAAAGGACAGCTGGTATGTTGAAATTACATAGAAAAATAAAAATCGACAAAAATGGAGATACATGGTTTCCTTTGGACAGTGACGATATATATATATATATATATATATGTCGGTTTTTGTGACATCACAAAAAAATACTAAATACAAATTTGCCTGTTTTTGCAGCTTAGCTTCCATATATGGTCTGCATGGACCAGGTAAATGTTCTGACACTTTAACAGAGTTTACATGCTACATCAAACTCTTTTATTAAAAAAAACAAAACAAGGAAAATTTGGCCGTCCATGTTATGGGCCCTTTAATACCAGCAAGGGTATTGGCCAGCTAGGGGTCTGTCCAGAGAGTGTTTGGTTTGGCTGACTGAACTGTCCAGCAATGTCCTGTTTATTGAAGCTAATCAATTCCAGTTAGCCAGCAGTGAGGTTTGATAACAAATACATGACAAAACAGTAAACACACATCATGACGTCAAACGAGGCCATCATCATCATCACTATCACTTCTCATTATAAACACCTGCTCTAAAACAGACGGAATAGTCGGGGCCTTTAAAGGGGAAATCCTCCCTTTTTCAAAATTTCCGCATAATTAAGTGGTTCGGGTGCAAACAAAGTTATTCAGGGCTGGTTTGATGTGAAATCGTTCATTTGTAGAGGAAAAAAACGTACAGAGTCAGATTTCTTTACAGTGGTGGTGATAGGAACCAGGGGTTCACCATGTCTACAATACAAATGTGGCCATTTTGTTTACTATATAACTATTTTGGGGACTATTTTGCCTTAGAACACCCTTCTTGTATCCCTCCACCATTAACTGATTGAAATGCGTTTTAGGCCAAAACTTTATCAGAAAACTACTGTAAAACAATGTCTCAGACATCAGCCAGTGTACTCATAACCACTTCTTGTAATAACTTTCTGTGAAGGAGCTTTTAGAGATAGACGTCTGGTTCCTATCACAACCACTGTGAACAATTCTGATTCTAAGTTTCTTCTAGAACGAAGCATTTCACACAGGACCACTCTGAATGACTTGGTTTACATGTTGACCGATTTAATTCTGCGGACATTTCGGGAAAATTTGGTGGAGTTTCCCTTTACTGAGTCCACAAACCACTACAGGAGGTAAAGTCTGGGTCCAAATAAACGACACGCATACGAAGTGGTCGTAATGTAGCCCACATTAGCTTCACATGCTAACGACCTGCTGTTTAACGGTGAGATAAAGGCTATTCGGGTTATCTAAGGCCACCACACGCAGCAGCAGCAGTGCTCCCTTAATCTCTAACGGGACTGCCGTTAGTCTAATTATCCGTTCCACCTTAAATGATGACACGGAAGTCAGCTTCTTATTCGAATTTACCCCGTTCCACCTTAAACGGTGCAGCAGAAAGAAGTAGCCGGCGAGTGAGAAGCTGCCTCAGGTGCCAGAATGTAACTGCTGCGCCATTTAAGGTGGAACGGGACAATTCGAATAAGAAGCTAAGGTGCCAGAATGTAACTGCTGCACCATTTAAGGTGGAACGGGAGAATTCGCTAAGAAGCTGACGCGTCTGAATGTAACTGCTGTGCCCTTTAAGGTGGAACTGAACAATTCAAGCAAGAAGCTGAAGCGCCTGGATGTAACTGCCGCACCATTTAAGGTGGACCGGGAAAATTCGAGCAAGAAGCTGGCGAATAGAAGGCCAACTTCAGCCTCGTCCTTAAATGGTGCTGCCAGAATGTAACTGCTGTACCATTTAAGGTGGAACGGAGAATTCGAACAAGAAGCAGGTGAACAGGAAGCCAATTTCAGCTTCGTGAGTCTCTGTTTATCTTGTTTACGATCAGCGCAGCTCCGCTGTTGGAAGCTGCGTTGGGAATGTAATGTAAACGTTGCCGTTACCTGCAGCGCCTCCCGCACTGGGTGTATTCAGGCTATACGCTCAGCTCAGCTCATCCCTGCAGACGCCCCGTTCACGCTTTCACGTCAAATGCACAAAGTAAGGTCTCCTTCCCGTCAAGTTCAGTCCAACTTGTCCCACCATTTCGCTGAGGATTAGCCTGTTCCAGCGGCAGCGCCTGTAAATCCCCCCGCACACAGACATTGATCTCATCCTCTTAAAGAGACCCCGCCACTCACTCACACACCAAACGAACAGGAACAGCTCGTGCGTTTTAATTAAGAAGTAATAAAGTGTATAAAATTTGAAGCTCATTTTGGCTACAATACGACCACTTTGTATGCCTGTCATTTGCTTGGACCCAGACTTTACCCCTGTAGTGGTTTGCGGACTCAGAGAAGCTTATGAGACTCAGTAAAGGGGAATTCCACCATTTTTTTTTTTTACAAATTTCTGCATAATGAAAGGGCTAACGTGTCAACAAAGTCATTCAGAGTGGTTTGGTGTGACATGCTCCATTCAAGGGAAACGTACAGAGTCAGAATGGTGGTGATAGGAACCAGATGTCCACCTCTAAAAGCTCCCTCACAGAAAGTTACTTACATGAAGTGGTTATGAATTCACAGCCTGATGTCCGAGACATTGCTTTTCAGTAGTTTGTGATGAAGTTTTGGTCTGAAACGTATTTTAATCAATTAATGGAGGAGGGATACAACTAGGGTGTTCTAAGGCAAAATAGTCCCCCTCCATTTTTTTTCCGATTGACCACTATTTTACCATCATCAGCATTACATATAAAAACTTAGAAGGCACGTGTAGGTTCACTGGCGGTTTTGAATAGTAAATAAAATGGCTGTATTTGTGTTGTAGACTCCTGGTTCCTATTACCACCACTGTAAAGAAATCTGACTCTGTACGTTTTTTCTCTACAAATGAACGATTTCACATCCAACCACTCTGAATGACTGTTTACATCTCAGCAGCTTAATTATGCAGAAATTTTGAAAAATCGGTGGATTTCCCCTTTAAAGGCCTCGACTATTCCGTCTGTTTTAGAGCAGGTGTTTATAATGAGAAGTGATGATGATGATAATGATGATGCTGGTCTTGTTTGACGTCATGGTATGTGTTGACGTCATGGTGTGTGTTTACTGATTTATCATGTGTTCGGGATCAAACCTCACTGCTGACTAACTGGAATTGATTAGCTTTAATAAACAGGACATTGCTGGACAATTCAGACATCTGAACCAAACACTCTCTGGACAGACCCCAGCTGGCCAATATCCTTGCTTTCACCACTGTAAACGAAATAGGAGTTGGTAAGTTTCCCTACAAACGAATAAAAACCAATCAGAATGATTTTATTTATTTTTAAATTTTGAAAAATCGATGGACTTCCCCTTTAAGAGAAATAAATAAAAACATGTAGTTCCTACTTTGAACACTAGGTGTCACTCCTTCTCCAAAACTAGTGTCCATGAACAGCAGCTTTTTTAACAGCGCTGCTCAGACTCCAAAAGAAACAGAGGGAAAGAAACGTTTCACTAAATTTGAAGTATACTAGTTTAATTTAGTGACAAGCTGTATAAAAGAACCATTAAGTTTAGTGCCTCTGTGTACTCCACCCTAAAATTACATTAAAAAAGTCTAAAAAGACTGTAGTAGTACTCAATTTAATTTATGCAATATATTATTTTAAAACCTCTAATGTAGTTTATATATGTAGTGGATAAAAATATTACAGGTTGACATTTTTCCCCTTCACTTGTCTGTATATGTAAAGGCTTTGGCGTCTCTGATCAAGCTTTTATTTTGTCCATCAATGCTATGTTTATTTTTTGTTGTACTTGAATTCATTTATTCATTTTTGACTGGCGACCAGTCCAGGGTGTATCCTGCCTGCCGCCCAAAGACAGCTGGGATAGGCTCCAGCTCCCCCACCCCTGCAACCCAGAAGGATAAGCGGTTTAGAAAATTGTGTGTGTGAATTCTTTTTCTAAGGAAAAAAGAGAGAAACACTGCAGGTCACAGTAAGCGCATACCATGTTTATTACACAGCAAAGACATTCATTTGGGTTCAAGACAGTATTTCCAATTCATATAGACCACCATAATGGCTAATTGACAATCCATGACTTCAACCACATAATGTTGAATTTTAACATAAATCGTGAAAATGGCTTAAAATTTCTACCTGAAAAACAAGTCTGTACTGGAAAGCCATGTTTACTTGTTAAACCTGATAAATGTGAAACTGTCAATAACTGGAAAAGACCAATGTAATCTCTGAGCATAATAAAACTTGTGCATAACGCCTTTATGAAGTTAAAGCATGCAGATAAATTCTCCGGATTTCCATATTTGAACACAGTACTGCATAAGGTTTGTAAGACATCTAATTCATGCGTGCAGAAACAGCGTACAACAGCCAATCATAGGGCTCAGCATGAACAACTACATACTGTAAAACTGAACCAAGTGCCCCAAGACAAGGAGAGATTCATGTATTACAATCCACCAAAGAGGAGTAACAGATGCCTAAAAGAAGCCAAAGGTCCCATCAATCTGCAAAGACACCACAACCTGTATCAGATTTCCACCATGAAACTCTAAAGTGCGACACAGAGAAGTCTAGAAGCATCATTTTAAGAAGTTACACTGGATATTAAACTGCTGAGTTGGAAAGGGAAAATGGAATAAATGCGGTCTGAGGGAACTCGATGTTTACATCTTCCCCAGGATTCACCTTTTCAGAAAGATGGTGAAACCAGAGAGATTCTATATATGATAAGCATTTAATACCACAATACCAGTCAGGTAATGTAGCATGTAATGTAATATACTGTAAACTGTTTAAAAGCTCTCAGAATCCCTAGCATTAACAAAATAATCAAGCATTTTCAATTTAATCTCTATCTACAACATCTGTAGCATAATCGCTGCTGTCCATTTTTGACGTTTTTCAGTTTTTGACAATTTGAAAATGCCTGTTCTTTACATTGTGTGTAAACTTCACGATGAATGGACCAAAAGAAACGGCCCAAAATGACTTGGAAAAAAGTCTGGTTCCACTGACTTCCATTAAAAGTAAAGCATGTTTTTTCCTTCTCCTGTAAAGTTACCATTGTGGAGATACAAGGTTTTATTCCGACAACAGCGATATGAACACTTACCACAGATTTCATAACAGAAAACTGAGATTAAAATGTAATGTATAATAGAAGTCAATAGCAATCACCTGTCCACTGACTTCTATCATTAACTGCGCTTCAAGCCAAGGGGTCGTACTAAGCACAAGGAACATGACACAGTGATCGTCCGTGGTAATTAACTGTACGCTACAGACGCCGCAAATAGAGGTTAGGCTGAAAATTGCTGGAGTATTCCTTTAAATGCAAGAACACTTGTTAGTAATGATGCTAGAATACAGTAGACAATATACGCCCTTTTACTTCCCTGCTGGTCATAAACTTGAGAACCCTTAGCTACACAGCAAACACACTACATTACCCAGCTGAAAAGGGCCACAGGGAAGACAACAGAGTTTACAGACCTTTAACAATAACACACAAAGAAAGAGAAGCCACACAAATATCGAAAATGAAAATAAATATGTATAAAAACTATGGGAAACACTGTTCCCGATAATTTAATCCACCCTACAGTGAAATATGAGGGACACTGCCCCCGATATATACACGCTGGTAGGCAAAAACTACCTTCACACTTCACATTATGGAAGACACTGCTCCCGATAATGTTTCAGGATAGAAATATATATGTTCCAAAAGACGCTCTGTCACAGAAATGGCCAGAAATTCTTGCTCTGGTTAAAAAGCTTTATCCCCTCCTTTCAGATCGCAAGAGACGAGTTCTTGTACGAAGTCCAACCTTGAATGTTAAACCTAATTGACCCGTCCAAGCTCCGCCCACAAATGTGTTCCATCTCAGTTGTTTAGCTAATTTTATAGTGCATTATTAATTACAAATGATTTGTACATGTAACAAGTTACACTGTACAGGTGTAGTTTCAAGCTAAGGTGCGCATTGTGTCAAATTAGCTGCCGTTTCAAATGTGCCTAGTTAGAATTAGCTGCAACACATTTGGTCATGTAGCATTTTAAACTGGAAACACAACATTAAACATGAACAAAGCTTTGTACAATTTATCATCTGGTTCCAATGAGAAGATTTCCCAACCTTGGAACCTCAACAGCTGCTACAAAAGAATGCATTTGTAGGCAGAGCATAGATAGGTCACTTCGAAATCTCTGGGAACCTGTGCTGTGTCTGTCAGCATTAAGCCTGGTTCCGTGCCAAAGGAAAGGTTACTACTTCCTCTTTAGAAAAGAGGGTTATGCTCCATTTCTAGCAAGTGTTTCTGGGTTGGTGACCACCTGCACCTGTAATAGCAATTTCTGGTGACAGCTGTTGGTAACACGTATTTCTGATAGCAGATGCTGCTATTATAAACTGACAGTATAACCGTCACAATTATGGAAGGCACTGCTTCCGATAATAAAAAGAAGACACATTTATAGTGAACACTGTCACTGATAAATAAATAAGGAACAAACATGATTCTCTCAGTGCCAAATCGGTAAGGCTTACATAAATGGCAAAGGCAGAGGTTCACCCCCCTAAGAGCTTTGGTTGCAGGGTTTAGATTAAGTGCGAATGGAACAGGTTACAACCCAATTAGCAGCCATGAATAGGGAAGCCTTTGTAAGCACATGTGCTTCAAAAACCTGACTAGACAGCACATCTGAAAACATTGTCGAATTAAAATTAAGCTTGTTAGAACCTGACAAACGAGTGCAAACGATCATGACCTTGTACTGAAACACTTCATCTTGTCTGTTAAACGTGGCTGCACGTTTTAATACTAACAAGAGTTAAACCATTGTTAATCAGTCACTGTTCTTTCAGCCTTCAGCTGAAACTCAAACCCGGGTTTTGTGTCAGTAGAATTCACTTTTTTGCGATAAGCAGTTCAGCAGGACTTCGTAACAGAATAATTCATGTTAAGTTAATTCATATAACTGATAATCTTTCAGATTTTTCACCATACAAATGCATACAGGACTGGTTAATGATCTTCAATTCAAAGCAGATATTTGACGTTAATGATTATTAGCCAGACCTGTTTGCAAATATACTTTTAAAATATTATTTTTTTTTATTTTTTAAACATCTGATGTTCTGGGAAAATCAACTTAAATGAACAAGCACCCTTCACTTAGCTTCACTCTCTGCCCAAGTGGTAGATGTTTTAAACTCAAAAAGTGAGGTCGGGTCTGCCTGCATGTCAAACTAAAGCATTCCTCTCATTAGATCTCATTGTCTAGAGCCCACACGTCTCCAGCCAGGTCATTGGCGCAGCTTTGGATGGTCCAAGTGGTCAGGGCAAACTGGTTGCGCAAAAGGTCGGCATCAGACCCAACGACCTGCTCCTTCAGGTCCTTCAGGTGGTCGGTCAGCGCAGACACAGTGTGATCACCGGTGCCGAAGATGATGTGACGGAAAGGGACGTCTCTCGGAGAAACATACTGGGACAGCAAGTTGTGCTCTACCTGTGGGGAGAAAGTGATGGGTTAGAATAAACATGTCAATCAATGTAAAGCAAAACACAAGAGCAACTACAACTCATGACACTAATGTGAGGATGACAGCTGTTAGTTTAGCCTAGAAGCAAAGCTATAACCGTAATCACATAATTGCTGACTACTGCGTGTGACTAGCCAGACAGAACGAACAGGTTTACCCTCATGATCCGGTTGTTGATGGTGCGACACTTCTCCTGGTCCTCCAGATCACTATTCTGAATCTCGTTAATCACAGAATCAGCGGCGCGACTGTACGACCCCACTGCTGACATCAGCCACTTAGGCGAGAGAGGTGCAGACATGGTGCCAGCCTGCAAGACGAACAGAGCACAAATCTTTTTTTAAAGACTAATATCCAAAACTTTAGACTGTTTTTCATGACTTCAGTAAAAGTATTTCCAAAAAAGAGAAAGATAAAAAAAAAAATAGACCCCAATACATTAATTAATTATGCTTTCACCTAGTGGTGTGGACTTGTATTGGTAACAGGACTTTGACAAAAAAAACAAAAGCAAAATGAAAGTTCACTTTTTTTTAAGCTTATATATTTGATGTTGCCACGAACATCATATTGTGAAATTGTGTATTATTACACTATTAATAAATACTAATTCATAAAATTTAATAAATAATCTCACAAAAGACAAGAAAAAAAGACTTTAACTGCATTTACAAAATGTAACCATTTATAATCTACAACATTTCCAGGCTTGGAAATTGATTTTTTTCTTAATTCACTGATAAACAGGATGAAGCAGCATTCAACAAAAGGTGGATTAGTAAAGAAATAAAATAATAATAATAATAATAATAATAATAATAATAAAAATGCATGCAAGGGAAAAAATTCTACTCACGTGTTTGAGCTGGTTGACACGGCTGTTGATCATGACTACATGCTTCCTGATGATGCGGGTATATGAGGTCACATCCAGCCTCAGGATGTGGTCATGGACCAGCCTGAGGGCCATCTGCCCAGCCACCTGAGCTGCAGACACGCAGACGTTACCCAACTGCTGCCCAGTGGCAATGTCCAGGTTGGCTTTATTGTCCAGAGCTGTTCCGAAATAGCCATAGGCCTGGTAGATGACAACCATCAAAATTAGATTAATAGAAAACCTCCAGCGTCTGTTCACATACTGTCTTCATGCATCTTTATACTGTCATTAAATTAAATAAATAAATGTTATTTATATGTCAACATAGATGTTTTTACTAAACAAAACTCACCCGATCTGAGCCAAAGCGGAAGGAGATGGAGGGAATTCCAGAGAAAGCCAGGAAAGGATAGGCACCATCCTCCATCCTCATGGTTTCCAGCCTGCAAAAGAAGTAAGATTAGAATATATTCATATTCGGGATGCAGCAATGTGGGAATTGTGTGCTTATGCCAGTATCTGATATTTTTCATATACGTATCTGGATTTGCATAGTTATTTTGTAATTATTTGTAGGATTAAAATGCAGTAAAAATGATTAAATGTAGATAATTTAGCGTGGAAACCCAGCGTCACCCAAGCATTTTGCTTTTCTGTAGAACCATAAATACATCAAGTCTGACAAAGACATTATATGATGATTTCTTTACAATTTCAACATTATCATGTATCCCCAACTGATACTGTATTATGGCCGTGTACTTTTAAGGTTGTATGTTTTATCTGTTATTAAAAGAGAACACCAAGAATTAAATAAAAAGTTTTAGGTAGACCACATACAACTAAACGGAGCATCAGAACTGCTTTCTGCAATCAGAATGAGCAAAACTATCACAAATCTATCATAAATAACGTTAGAAGTCAGTAAAAATGTGCTCACGTGTTTTCAAAATCTCTTGGAGAGGAAAACTGGAACAGGTCTCCATATTTGCTTACAGTCTTCAGCTTAATAAGAGATACACAGGTTTAAATAGCTGCATTGTGGGGAACCAATACAAATCACAAATATATATATATATATATATATATATATATATATATATATACACACATACACACACACACACACACACACACACACACACACACACACATATATATATATGTGTATATATATATTAGTGGTGCGGGAAAAACTTGATTCTTAGATGCATCACAATGCGGACGTGAACGATTCTGAATCGATTCATTCAACGTCAAAAATCGATTTTCTAAATATTGAATTTATAACGTAATGGTAATGGAACGCAAAAGGCTGAACTGGAAGTGGGAAAGTGCAGCGCCCGGACAGTCTGTGGCAGCACATAACAAAAACACTACTGGAGGAGCGAGAAATCCGACCGGCTCCCTCTGCATTAAAAGCCAGGTTAGATCAGGAGTCACAACACAAATGATAAGAAGAGCCATTTTGCCTTTTAACGAAGTCAAAACACCTTAGGAGCCACAACATTTAAATGTCCAGTATGTCTCAGTATGGGATAATGTCCTAGTATGGGCTAAAAATATAAACGAAAGCGCAGATCTACTTTAATCTGCTTTAAGCTTTAGTTATAGCCGCTTTCCTCCCGTCTCCGCCAGAAAACCTTTCTTCAAAACTAGAAGAGTTTCTTTTAAAATGTCTCAGCGTCCGGCTGTTTTACGAGGCTGAAGTCGCTTCTCATTCGCCAGCTTCTTGTTCTAATTTTCCCGTTCCACCTTAAATTCTGGCCTTAGGCGCCGAATGTAACTGCTGCACCATTTAAGGTGGAACGGGAAAATACGAAAGAGAAGCGAGTTCATTTTCGCAACTTTTTAGTCTCTCGTTGCAGATTTAACCAACCGCGCTGCTTATAAATGCGAACAAGTCCTCCAACTGTTCGTCTTAATCTGTTTTTTTCGTTCGCTACTGGCGAGGCCAGATCTCGGTGCTATGTGACCTGCTGTCCAGGGCCAGGGCTTTCGCGCTATGCTGCACACTTTGGAGCCGAGATTCAGCGTCCAGTCTCGAAAATACCCCCCCACTCTCTACAACGAGACCAAAAGGGTGGCTGTAACGTGCTGCGTGGACACCCATTGCCTCTGGATCTTATTTCAGGGCAACAGCGCATTTTATCGCAGATGAGTGGCAGCAGTGTCTCTGAATGAGAGCCTTCTAGTTCACTTGCCACGTCACTTCCATTTGATTTATTAATAAAAGATATTTTAGATATTTAAAGCAAAGTATTTGTAATGATCCATAATGCATTTTCATTATGGATCATTACAAATACTTTGCTTTAAAACTACCAAGTCCTCAGACAGTAGGAAGATAGAAATCGTGTATAGAGAAAAAAGATGCATCGAGATGCATCGATAATCGTTTTATAATTGCATTGCAGTCTTCTGAATCGTAATCAAATCGAATCGTAAGGTGCCTAAAGATTCCCACCCCATATATATATATATATTCACATATAAAAACTGAATGACGAGCATTTCTTCCAACCTCATTTAAAGTGTCCTTCAGAAGGCTGTGCAGCAATGGACTGGCTGATGCTCTGAACTGGGTCTGTCCTGGAGACAAATAGTGTTTAAGGTTTTCTCACAAAAAAACATTCTGATACTGTGAATGCAACATAATTTAGTTCTTGATATTTTGACACAGACCGTCATGGACTAGGGTTTTGTGTGCATGCGTTCTGACCTACAGTCATATGCAAACGTCTGAACACCCCTGGCCAAAACATCTTCTACAGAGAACAAACTTAAATATGGATTTTTTGTAGACTTTAGTGCACAGTCTTGCTGATTTTAACATATAGGAAAATAATAATAAAATACAAGGTGCCACAATTTTTGCAAAGGCAACATCATGTTTTTTTTTTATGTTAAATTCAGCAACTAAACAGTAAATGTGCATTAAAGTGTGCAGAAGTTTGTTCTCCGTAAAAGAAGCGTTAACTTCTTTTCACTAGGAAAATCAACAATACATGTTATTTAACCACAAGTGCCTAAACTTTTGCTTACAACTGTATTGTGTGTCAGTACGCTTTTCAATTTAATTGCTTTAGATGTGATTAAAACGTGAAAGAAAAGGAGGAAAACAGTCATGGAGGCCTTTAACGTACCTTGAACCACTCCGTCCAGGCTGATGTATGTAAATGCTTTTTTGTCCAGTGAGCTCAGGTAACCCTATTTAACACAGATCATAAGCAAGATTTTAAATCTAAATAATCTCCATAACAAACATGACATTGTGATATTACATTTCCAAATGTCATGCATCAAACGTACCTCCAGCCACTCTGTAGCCCCCACACTGCCGTAATCACCAGCGCTCCAGCTGGCGAACACAATGCTTCTCCTGGGCCTGAACCCCGCTACAAGGACAGAGGACAAGAAGAGTTTGTGCCACTTAGCAACATTGTCTTAATGAAATATAACAGCTGATGAACAGTATCTACAAGGTAGCCAACAGAAATGCATATTAAAAATTACAAATACTCATTTTATTGCATTTATGTTTACTTCAGACATGTGCAGACAAGATCATCAGCAACTTATGCCATGACAGTCAACACACAATGTTGTCGTAGGCACCTTTTTACCCTGTCACTGCATGTCTGTATAGCTGTTTTGGCATGTTATTTGTCTGAGCACCTTCACAGCTGACAAAGCTTGCAGTGCTATCCTTTCATGCTTATTGTGCCAACTAGTCTTGACCATCTGGCCAAAAAATAAAAAATAAAAAAATCCAGGCAAACCAATGCCAAAAAAAGGATTCTAAAAACTGATGAGAATTGCTGTGCCATTATACAAAGCTCCACCCAAGTGTCTTAAAGACAGAAATCTGTTATTAGAAGAATGATATCAAGAACACTACATGTATGTACAGGTGTTTTTCCCCCTAATAAACTATAGAGATGTCATAAACTGTGATAAAAAGGTTAGGTAATCAGATTCCAACAAATTTCTGCATAATTCAAGGTAATCTAAGGTAATCTAAAAAAAATGTCATTAAAGTAAAGCCAATCAGAGTGTTCTTTATGTGAGATGTTGCACTATAGAGAAACTTAATTTCTTTACATTGGTAGTTATAGGAACCAGGAGATGTGTCTACAATGCAAATATAGCTTTAATTGCTATAATTGTAATTACTATCCAAAATAACCTACACGTGTCTACTGGGTTTTTATATGTAATACTGATTATGGCATGAGCCCGTCCCCTAGGCCCCAATTACCCCAATTAGAGGAGCAGCAGCACCAGAAGAAACGACTGAAGAGCTAAAAAGCTTAGCTTGGAGAAACAGACTGAAAAGTCTAGTTTAAGTAAGTAGTGAAGGTTTCGGTTGTTTGGTTTTGTTTCAGTTTGTGCCCGGAGTACACAGCGGGTGCTACCTTGATAATGATGAAATGTGTTTTCTTTGGGGACAACTTTGCCTCATAACACACTGCATGTACCTCTCTGTCATTAGTGTACTAAAACAGAAAATAATTTTAGACCAAAATCCCCTCTCAAAACTATATAATGTCTCAGACATCAGGCAGGGTACTCATGACCATTTGGTCCCACTTTATATTAAGTGTCTCTAATAACTGTGTAGTTACATGTGAACAACATAGGCAACAACACTACTAATGATTTATTCACTGTTACAGATGGATTACAGAAGTACACTTTATGTAATTACACAAGTGTATCTTAATAGTTGCAACAGCCTATTCTCTCATGCAATTACACAATGGTAATAACAAATGTAATTACGTGGTCATCACTTGAACAGCAGGTTTTTTTTCTGAATTCTTTTCCAGCAGTAAAAGTATGTAATAGCTTACATTAAGACATTACTTACACTGTATCTGCCAGCTTTCCTAACATTTAGCTAGCGTTAATGTTGCTAGTGCTGTGACACTGTAACCACTTTCTGTATGTATATGTAACAGTGCAGAAGATGACCCCTTATCTTAACATGTAACTTTTATGACATTAATTAAATGCCGCATTCCCCCAAAACAATGTCTATATTACCACTCCATTATTACACAGTACCTACATACCAACTACACAGGAACTGTCCACTTATTTTAAAGTGTAACTTTAACACTACACTACAGGAAAGTTCATCTTCATCATAAAGTTGATACACATGTGTAATTACATAGGCTGTACTTCTGTAATCCATCTGTAACATTGACAATCATCAGTAGTTACAGTGTTGTGACATATGTTAATGTGTAAGTACATACTCATTAGAGACATTGAATATAAAGTGGGAACGACCTTTTCATGTAAAAGCTTTCTGTGAGGGAACCTGGCTCTTATCACCACTGCTGTAAAGAGTTCTGACTTGGTAAGTTTCTCTAGATTGGTGCATTTCATGTCATACCACTCTGATTGACAACTTAAAGATGCAAAGTATTCTGGTAAGGCAATTTGGAATAATAATACATTAAACATCAACATGCACTTTTGAAAACATTCAAACAAAAAGAAACATCTGTATAGTCTATAGCTGTGATACTGAGTTATCAACTGGTAGAGTGTTGAATTAAACATGCTTAAAACATGCAATAAACAAAATGTTAAAAAGTTCTATGTTCTTATTTCACTTATAAAAATATAAAAACTTTATTTGGGTATTTAGATATTTCCTACAAATACAGACACTCTAATAGCAAAAATGGCTAAAATGGCCAATCCTAGTGGATGAATGAGGCTTCACTCTACCTTTCGTCATCTCTGCGATTGCTCTGGCGAGCTCCACCAGCAGGCAGGTGCCGACGGTGGACTTTGCATAGCCTTTGCTGAAAGAGTCTCTCTGAGCACCCATCACCACATAATGATCTGCAGAAATAACCCAGTGAGCTCATACTGTACACAGCCATGTTCGAGAATGCACAGTAAATCTATGACTGCAGTTCACCTGGATCAATGAAGCCCTTGATGACTCCAAAGACATTATGAATCTTCGTGTCAACTAGAGCGTTATTAACAGTCACAGTCATCTTGTCACCGTCTCCTCCCAGTCTGTACTTGCTGATGCCCTTTAGTTTTCCCTTGAAGTGTTCAGGGGCGTCACTCCCTCCCATTTTCCTGTGATTTAGAGCAGTTAATATTATACGATGTCCAGCATAAGAGGTTCTCACTGCAATCCGCTATATTTCACTTTAAAAAATAAGACTAAACAATATATCATACCTCAAGCATTGTCATGATTGGCTTTTGCAATACTGAGAGTGCAAAAAAGTGGAATAAGCATCTAACCCATGTTTCATTGTGTGCTATGAGCACCCTACCCAATCAAAGATGTTCCCCGGATGGTCTGATAAATATAAAGGCGTACACACAATCCAATCGATAAACTTTGGTCCAATCAGTCCGAAACACCAAATCAAGGGTTCACTAAAGTGCTTTCAATATACTAGAAGATATAGTGCACTCACAATGTGTAATAATTGCAGTATTTTGTCCATACCATACATCTTAAACCAGAATATAGAACTATTGTCTTAGTCAGTGAATCACTTTCCATTGCTAGAGTGATAATCAGCTCCACTTGGGAATAGTTCATCTATTATCTTTTAGTGCCCTTCAACTTACTGATGGATTTTGAGGGCCATATCTGCGGTGATTGTCTGTGCCAGTATTTCAGGCAGGCCTGAGGATTTGGCAGGGGGGAACTGTGTGTGGTTGAAGGAAGGAAACCCTGGAGTGTAAGGGTCACCGGTTCCAAAGTGGACCTGCAGTGAAAAAGACACACAGCATTTAAGATAATTGCAAAGGAAGAGGAAGAATACAGCTAAAATCGAAGAGAAAGGCATTTCATCTTAATAAGCCATGATGGCACTGAGCTACCACACAAGGACTTACATGGCCATAAAGATCAGTGCTGGTGTCAAAGCTGTTGAAAGGTGGTTCTGTGTAGATCAGAACTGCAGACGCATTAAACTTAGCAGCGTTGGCAACCTAAGGTCGAGACAACAGTCAGGCCAAGACAGGAAAACAGAAGCATGAATCTCTGACCTAACAATGATTTAATTACAGTTTATTTAGAAAATATTTCAATTCAGTATAGAAATCAAATTTCATGATTTGTTTTGATAATACAAAACATAAACTAAACATAAACCATTATAACAAGACTTTCTTCAGCAAATACTTTGCCCAGAGATTTTCCATAGAGCCATATCCTACATTTTTCTGGTACTTATAACACTTCTAATTTAATGCACCAAAAACAAAATTAAATCTTAATTAAATCTTCCTTTATCCCTTTAACTAAATAGGCGTTTTTTGTTACTGGGCCTTTAAGACTGATGTATGTAAATGAGCTCTGATTGGCTGCCCTGAATTGCGGGCTCATTCCAAAAGTGGTTCAACTGAGGCATAACAGGGCTAAAGCATAGGTGGAAATACATAAATGTGTCGGTTATTATGGCATCACAAAAACAATTCATTCAAAATGGGCTGTTTTTGAAGCTTGGTTTCCCTGCATGAACTCGTAGTGATTGGGACATTTAGAAACTTTGAGTGTTTACATCCTACATCAAACTTTCAGTTTTCCATGATGTGGGCCCCATAAAGGTATGCCAGAAACTGAGATTTTGTATTACCTTTTCTGCCAGGCTGATTTGCCCAGTTCTCATGAGAACAATCTTCTCTGTGAGATCCAGTCCAGCAGTCCGCAGGTACTTCAGATCCTCATTCTGGCCATAGTTAGCATACACCACCTTTCCCTGTCAGAAGACCACCCATGTCAATTTTGAGAGCAATACTTTAACACACACAGTGTGGCCCTCAAAGGATATTAACATGAACTTATCTTTTTGAATGAAAGCTGATTTGTATTGCTTGACGTAGAACATATAGACTTCCACACTATATTTTCATAACAGAGACATACAATGTATAATACAATAAAGTTGCCTGTCTGTCTATTAGAGCTTATATGAAACACTCCCAATGCCTTGCATGTACATGTCTCTGTATTAAAAAAAATATATAAAGTGTTACACCAAAATTCTCAAAACTATCATAAAACAATATCTGAGGCATCAGTAATAGCTTTCTGTGTGGGAGCTTAGCGCAGCACTAAACACTAAGTTGCCTTTCCATCCAAAGCAGCTCCACTGAAGCCTTCCTAACTGCATTATTTCCATATAAATAAAAGCTGTGTCATGTTTCCTGAAGACACGCCTTCTTTCGAGAACAATAAGCCTGTACAATATCCTACCTCTTTGGTTCCTTTAGCACTGTAAGCCAAGTATCCTTTTGTCGGTCCAATCTCGTCAGAACCAAATAGGACTTTGTTTGGATTGCTCCTGTTTGTGAACAAGACAGTATATTAGTAAACGGGCATTAGAAACACGGGCTGAAGAGTAACGTTTGCACACGGTACTGACGGTGGAGGCATCTGTAGCTGAACATAGTGCTCGTCAATCCATGGGTTCATATCCAGGCTCTTGAAAATGTCCAACACTTTGTTGGCCAGCACCTCATCACCACTACTGCCTGCTTCATGGCTATCCATGGCAAAGTTCCTGGGGAGGGGCAGGCAGGTAGGTAGAAATGTATTAGAAATGCACTTGTTTTTATGCTAATCTTAAATGAATACTCCAGTGCAGCATCAGCAGCACACAGTTAATTACCAAAGACAATTTCAACATGTTTCTCTGTACTTTGTGACAAGGATACTCAGTGTCACTGATGCAAAGCACCACTCCTACGAAGCTTAAGTACCTTAACTGATTATCAAAGGCGCTGGATAACAGACTCCGTTGCAGCATGCTTGTGAGGTCACTCCAGTCCAGAGAGGGCTCAGGGGCAACAGCAATGACCCCTTCTTCCTGATTTCCATCTGGCTGATCTGTGGTGCATGCTCCCGGTCCAGTCTCAGCAAGTTTGCTGGCCTCAGGTTTGCGATGTGTCACGTAACCAATAAGGTAACCTGATACACAAAAGAAACACATCCATTAGTGCCAATCTGTGCCAGGCAAGGCAAGCAGCAACAAATGATATATAGTTGCTTGCTATAGTGTAAAAAACTGGTTTTTTTTTGTTTTTTTTATAGTTTCAGTGACTGCAGAAGGAAATTGGACACTATCCATTCAAGTATTAGTGAACTTTAATGGGTTACTTCATGAAATTTTTAACAGAATACATTAAATTCAGAGTAAAACACTTTTAGCATAACATCAAACTGATCACAAAAAGTGAAAAACTTAAAACGGACTGCACTAAAGGTACTGTTAAGCACAGAGGTGGAATGTCTGCAAAGAAACTGCTCAAACGATAACTCTGAAAACACATCACCTGCATTTTGATGGAAAACTTAATTATTAATTATTAATTACGATCTTGGAATGGTCTGTTTAAAACAAACGTCACTTGGTTTTATATTTTGTTTCTTAACATAATAGAGTCAATGTATTTTTTAACACAGCACAAATATCCAAATACTTTGTACATAAATACAGTAGAGTCAAAAAGTTTTACGTTTAAACCTGGAAATAAACAAAAGTGTTTGAATCTTAAATTTAAAACAAAGAAAAATTATAACAAAATGAAAATGAAACCAAAGCAAATTTGGAAAATGACCATGTTAAGGCCTTTGTATAAAAAGATTAGATTATTTTTAGTCTTATAACTTCCATATTCAGGCAACTGGATCTATGGAAGGGGGAAAAGCAAAAAAGGGGATGTACCAAATACTAAGAAGTTCTGAAATTCACGTAAACATTAGGATTCTACTATTCACAAAAAATTTTATGCGGATATCATTTGTGATGAAAATGGTGGGGTTTTATTTAGAAAAGAATACAGAATAAAAGCATTTTCACAGTGGTCTCAAATATTTGGGCCCAATTATATGTATGACATCATTGACAATTACTAGACTTTGTCAACTGATCACCGCACCCCAAACTGATCACAGAATCACGACTTGTGGCAGCATCTTACCAGCAAGGAAGATGAGCAGAACTACTAGTGCTCCATAACACACGTTCCTGTAAGGGCGCAGCGGTCTCTGTGGTAAGCGGTAAGTGCTGGCAGGATGGCCATGTCCAGCCTCAGTCCCGTCCATCTCCTCCTCACCATCACCAGAGAGCTTCACCTCCACATGGCTACTTTCCCCATCAACATTCTGGGTCAGGTTGAAGCGCGTGTACGACTGTGGTTCCCCATTAAACTGCGATATAAAAAAGAAAAAAGATCAGAAATATCTTTTTTACCCTTACTCTTCAACACCGACTCCTCTTTTTAAAAACGGCGCTTGCTATTTTTAAATTTGCTCTTTGTTCTTGTTATATGCATCACAAAATACTGAAAGGAAAAGAATAAAAGATGAGAAACGAGACAGACTTTTTAGTACAGTTGCATTTGAAATGTCTAACTCTTCTTTTCAATACTTACTATTTTAGAAATCTTCGCTCTTGCTTGATTAATTGGTCCTGCCATGACAGACCTGAAAAAGAAAGAGGGGGACAAGAGAAATGAGAAGAGAGCACAAAGCTGCACAAGAACAGAAGAGGTTTCTTCAAAGAATCTGCCTCTCCTGCGGTCTCCGCAACCTTATATGCACGTCTGTCCGGTTCCAAAGGTCAAGGTTTGTTTTTTTTGGAAGTCAGGGAAAAAAAAACAAAAAAAAACAGTAGTGTGTCAAGATTTTCTGGACATCAGAGCCAGTTGTAAACATGCTAAAGACAAAAATCAATACGGGAATTAAATAACTGCAGTGCACTGCTACTTCAGTCCCCAGCATATCATTGTAGGCCAGCCACTGTGAGTGTTTAAGAAGCTACATTATGTTCCATATATTACATAATGAAGCACATTATCAGACCACAGCAGCTGTCAAATAGATGAGACTGACAAGGTTTTACTGTAGTTAGATTATGAAAATACAAATCTACAGTAAACCTACACCAGATCTGAACATACCTGCAGAAGACAACACATATAGTACTGAAACTACGGTACAACAGCAAAGGTTTCAACATGCTTTGCCGCTCAAGCTTTCAAAAGCACTCAAGCCGCAAAGAAATGAAACAATGAAGTTCTGCAGAAGACGAACATGACTTCCTTAAAAAAATCCCCCACAATGCCCCAGTTCCCGCCAATTCTTCAACCACTGAGTTTCACAAGCAACTGTCATTTTTCTCCCTTTACAAAGACCAGTTATGTCGAAACTGCAGCACATTTACCAGGCAGGTCAGATCCTGAAGTTAATGACTCATTCTGATAATGACTAAGCACAAGATGTTCCCTCGTTATAGAACAGCCTTTAACTCATGCTTTATGCTCGACAACTGGACTAAATGACAGTTATAAGTATCCAACCATCCCCCCAGGTTCAAACTTCATCCCTCATCTGATATGGAGACTAAAAAAGAACAACTTCCAACCAAGGAACAAAACTTCAACCACTCAAACATGAGAATAAAAAAAAAATCACTTTCAATATGACCCCTTTATGAATGTCCCTGCATGAATGTTTTTCTAAGATCATGAAGTTTCACACATTTCTCTTCCTTAGAACTGCACAGGGGAATCCTATTACCACAATACTTCCTCGTCTGCGAGCTAAACAAGCAGCTACAAGACCAGAACAGGAATATTTTTAACCTCTATGTGACCCAAGAACATTTTCTCATAAAGCATGGCACACACACTTAAAAATGATGGTTCTTCAAGGGTTCTTTAGTAAAAAAAATGGCCCTACATAGAACCATGAATACTCAAAGAACCCTCTGCATGATTAAAGAGTTCTCTGCATGGTGAAAGGGCTCTTCAGATTGATGGAGAATGTGCTGTAGATGGTTCTAAACAGAATCCTTTTGAAAAGGGTTCAATATAGCACAAGAAAATGGTTCTTCTATTGGTACAAGCATGACATCGTAACAACAGTAGAACCCTTTTTGATGCCATATAAAACCCTTTTCAAAGAGGTTCTATATAGAACCATATATAACATTCTCCATTAACCTTAAGAACAATTTAAGCATGCAGGGATTTTATATGGTTCTAAATAGAACCATTTCCTTTTACTAAAGAACTCTTGAATAACTTAATTTTTAAGAGTGTAAAAAGACTGTGCTAAAGCTTGAACCACAGTTCTATACTGTATACTGTACTATATCTGTATAACCCTTTCATGATGCAAAGAACCCTTTAATCATGCAAAGGGTTCTTTGAGTGCTCATTGTTGTATATAGAACCTATTTCTTTACCAAAGAATCCTTGACGAACTCTCTTTTTTGTAAGAGTGTAAAAGAGAGTGTACTATATCTGAAGAACCCTTTCACGATGCAAAGGACCCTTTAATCATGCAATGGGTTCTCTGAGTGCTCATCGTTCTATAAAGAACCATTTTCTTTACTAAAGAATCCTTGAGTGTATGGTTTAAGGTTTTTGTTCCCCACAGCATATCACATTACCATCACAGAGCATGTGAGAGTCACAGAGAGAGTCTCTGAATGCATGTTGAGATCCAGTTAGGTCTTGTCCGCTATGGCCTGGTCTGATTATCTTAAGCAATAATGCATGAAGGGATAGAACATATGCTTCCGATATCTAACCTAATTAATTTTATATGCAGGTCAATATGAAGAGGCAGAGCCACTGGCAAGAAAATCAAATTTCAATGAACTCTTGCACTGTTTGCAACATTATTTACAACTGAAAACATTCAAAACACTGGAAGATAAGAAAGGCGCCAGACTGGCGCAGGGCGCATGGCGCCGCTGCTGTTCAATAATCTGAATCAAAATCACCCAAACATACACTGGTAAACAGAAACTGTTAAAATGTGGCAACACTATATGCCATCAAAGGTTAGTGTGCTACACTGACGACGTCACGCGCAGCCTAGTTATATCAGCATCCAAAAACAACTGATAAACAACTATTACATGTCCAGACATACAACTGCATTTATATCGCTGCTGTTGGAACAAAACCTTGTATCTCCAACTTTACAGGAGAAGGAAAACACCTACTTTACTTTTAATGTAAGTCAATGGAACCAGACTTTTTTCCAAGTAATTCTGGGCTGTTTCTTTTGGTTCAATGGTCATGAAATTTACACACAATGTAAAGGGAACCAAGTATTTTCAAATTATGTCAAAAACTGAAAAACGACAAAAAAATTGAGATGGTTTTGTTCTGACAGCTGCGATATATTCATTCTAATATAATCTACAAGTGCTCTACATTCAACTGTGGGTGGTGAAACTCGAGAACAAGCCCATCTCATACATGAGGAGATCAGTATTTCCTTTTATAAGGAGAGATGATGCGGCCACTAATGCTTGAGTTTTTCACTAATGAGTTTGTAAGTTAGAATGATGCATTGCCAGAAAGTGAAGCCTAGGACCGGCATGTACTTATTCTTGATGTTAAGTAGCCTACAAGCCTAAGACCAAGTGAGATGAGGATTTCTGAATCAAACGAGATTTTACACATAATTCAAGAATTAATTAATCTTAAACGATAATGGATCAAGTGTTCTGGTGGCCCTGTGAAAACCTAAGAAACTGGCATTGCACAACATAAGCATCAATTAACTGGGTCTTAGTACAGTAAACCAAGTATAAGACTGTGGATTAAGGCTTAGCACAGTCTTTTCACAACCACAATGTTTTTAAAGATGGTTCTTCAAGAGTTCTTTAGTAAAGGGAGTGGCTCTAATCAGAACCATGAGTCCTATATAGAACCACTGCATGCTTGAATGATCCTTAAAATCGATGGAGAATGTGTTGTATATGTTTCTATATAGAAACCTTTGAAAATGGTTCTATATATATCACCAAAATAGGTTCTTCTATTGTTACAAGCTTGACATCAGAACAATAGCAGAACCCTTTTTGGTGTTATACAGAACCAAACCAAAAAGTTTTCAAAACAGAACCGAACACAACACATTTTCCAACAATCTGAAGAACCAATTCACCATGCAAAGAACTACTTGAGCATGCAACTCCTGCATCTACATAGAACCACTGCCTTTACTTAAGAACCTTTGAAGAACCATCTTTTTTTTAAAGTAATATATTTTGTCTTTTTAAAACACCTTTACTTCTCTATTTTATATTGAAATCTCTCTGTAAATACACAAATACTGTTCTTATGCAATAAGTGCTCCAGCTGTATCTCCAAGGCTGGACTCGCCATGTGGTTCTACAGTATTATGGCAGTGCAAGCTAAATGGCATCAAGGTCACCAAAACATATTCAACCCAAAACGCTCTTAACCGATCAACTGAGTTTTATTCATTAATAATGCGTTAGTTAAACGAAAGGAAAAGCTAGTTTAACATGAAAACATCTGACTAAGCTCGCATTATTAGCACTAAAGCTGCTTCATAGGGACTAAACACGCAGGTAATGCTAACTTGCCCTTTCCTAGCAGGTAACGTTATGCTAACACTATGGCCTGGCCTGCTAGATATACACTCAAATGAACTAGCTGACGCTAACATTATTTAACCTAGTCACGCTTTTATTTCAGATGATATAAATCAGACACATAATTCAAGAAGCCTTCAGAATAGCACTGTTAGTTAGGTTTAATAACTGCGGCCACCCTCTCTGAGCACACAGCTAATATGGCTAAGCGGCTAACTAGTTAGTTAACGTAGCTAGATTATATAGCGTAGGTAACGTTAGTAACGGAAGCAACGTTGGCTAAGCTAAACAACATAATAAAATATTAATTATCTAGTAGCGTTATGCATTATTATTGCCTTTAGAGGCCGTTTATATGATGGAAAAGCACGATCATCCAGCCTGGTTATTCAGAGCATCCTGATCCACTATTATTAAAAGAAACGTCTTTGAGGGAATGAATGACTTCTTGTTCGCCAGCGTCTTGTTCGAATTTTCCAGTTCCACCTTAAATGGCGCAGCACGCTGGATTTAACCATTTAAGGTGGAAAGGGGAAATTAAAATAGGAAGCCGGCTTCAGCCTCTACAGGAAAAAAGGCTAGCTTGTTAACCTAGCTAGGCTAGCTAGGTTATGTTGGCTATGCAGCGCTGCAGACACTACATAATGTGACATAATGTGAAAATTGTACGAAAAACACTAACGTTACATTTTAGAGTCGTCACTCGCTTAAGTCACTTAACCTTTTAAACGTTTAAAGAAACAGTCTCACCTGAAAATAAGTCTGAAATAAGAGGGGCTCTAAGGTTTAATTCTGCTGCTCCCCGAGAAACACGCGGTCTGTCTCCACGCTGTTCTTGCAGACCGTCTGTCAAGCGAGTCGTCAGCGAATCATTTGAACCGATTCTTTTCTCTAAATCAGTTTTTTAAGGCACAGATTCATAAGAACTGATTCATCTGAATGAATCCAGCTGAAGTTTTGCATTGTATCACCTATATCGCGACGTAATTCATTATGCATAATAATACAATCCATATTTAAAAAGAAAAACGCCATCTTGCCTTAAATGTACAAAATGCACCAAAGTCTATTTCAAGTTCAAAGTCAATTTTAGCCCATTTTAAAGGGGCATAATTCAGTGACTGAGGTCTAAACAGAGTCATCCAGAGTGGTTTGATGTGAAACGGTTCATGTGTAGAGAATCTTACATACTCTGATTTCTTCACAGTGGTGAGGATAGGAACCAGGGGTCGCAATGTAGCCATTTTATTTACTATCCAAAACCACCAGTGAACCTACACGTGTCTTTTGAGTTTTTATAATGTTAATGATTTTCTTTGGGGGCTATTTTGCGTTAGAACATCCCTCGTGTATCCCTCCACCATGAATAGATTAAACATGAATTGACTGAAATACGTTTTTGGCCAAATCTTTATCACAAAACCACTGTAAAACAATGTGTCAGACATCAGGCTGAGTATTCATAACCTCATCTCATGTAATAACTTCAAGTGAGGGAGCTCTTAGAGGCGGACGTCTGGTTCCATTTAACACTACTGCGGGGTATTTCACACCAAATCACTCTGAATGATTTAAGCATCTAATTATGCAGAATTTTTTTTTAAAAAAAAGGGTGGAGTTCCCCTTTAACTAATTTAACCCAGCACGCCTGCAGTTAATCCCCACTCCTCAATGTCCATCTTGATATTATTTTTTGAAAATCTAAGTGAGAAGAAGTAACGAGCATCCGATTCACTCGCTTGTTGACTCAAGGAATCGTTAGATCGGACGTTTGAATCGTTGAAACGGAAGGAAAGAATCGGTTCGGCGAACTGAGTCGAACTTCACATCACTGGTAGTCGCGGTCTCCTCCCACTGCTGCTCCTCCTGCACAGATAACAGAGAACTGTGAGTCATGGCGATTGTCACGTAGGCTCCTCACAATTCCTGCAGAACGTTTCCTCGTTTTACAGGCCCTTTTGGGACAGGAAAAAATCATCTGATGTAGGCAAAACAAACACTGAAGAACCATTCTTCTGTCTTGAGCTAATGAGTGCACACAGAACATTATAATAAATCTGCACGTTTTGGTAACTACAATAATCTGCACAGTGTCTGCCATACAGCATCCCCTAATAAAAAGAAGTTTATTCAAGTGTGTCATTAGTATAAACTAAAAATAAGTGAGTTTCAGTTTACTTTTAATGCTCTTATCAGAGACAGACTAAACAAACTTATACTTAAAGGGTAACTCCACCAATTTTTCAAACATTCTGCATAATTATACAGTTGAGATATAAACATGTAGTCGTCCAGAGCGGTTTGGTGTGAAACGCTCCATTCTAGAGAAGCTTACCGAGTCTGAACTGTTCACAGTGGTGGTGATAAGAATGAGACATCTGTAGATCTTAATGCCTCTGAAAGCTCCCTCACATAAAGTTATTACGTAATATGGTTAGATATATGGTGCCTGATGTCTGACACATTGTTTTATCGTAGTTTTGTGAAAAACTCTTGGCTTAAAATGTATTTTAATCAATTTATTTTTTAATTTATTTTTCAGATTAATGGCTATTTTACTATCATTGACATTACATACAAAAACTCAAGAGACACGTGTGGGTTCACTGGTGGTTTTGGACAGTAAATAAAATGGCTATATTTGTGTTATAGACGATGTGACCCCTGGTTCCTATCACCACCACTGTAGGGAAATCTGAGTCGGTAAGTTTCTCTACAATGAACCATTTCACATCAAACCCATTCAAACCACTGAATGACGCTGTTTACAACTCAAGGACTGAACTATTCCGAAATTTTGAAAACTTGGTGGAATTCCCCTTTAAGTATACTCGGCTGCTGACAGGTATACAGAAATGTCTAAGTGTATTTGGCCTACACTTGTACTTAATCTTTTGATCGAGATAGACTTAAGAAAAGTATAAAGTAAGTAATCTTGCCTTATACATAAAGTTTATGGGCTTGTAGTTTGTTGTGAAACAGTTTAGAGTGAATAGCACATTTGTGGAACTGATAATTTATGTAAATTGTAAAGAAGTACAACCTGTTTGTGGGCAGCCAGGGGCTGATGTAAGAGAAGTTGCTTGACACAATTTTAATATCACACTTCCCTACAGACTGTGTGTGCTTTTTGTTTATTGTTTTGAACTGGAATGTCTGATATTTTGGCATCAAATACTCAATCAATATTTGTTTGAGAATTCTGATTTATGAGGAAAACAAATGTGTTCTTAATACTGAGTATGTCTTGTAAACATTTTATATATAGTCTACTGGTAGTGTTCATATTAGTTAACTTCAGGTCTAATTAAAGTACTGTTAAGGTATATTTCAAGTATAAATAACCACCTAAATAGATACCTAGTGGTTATACTTTAAAGTGCAAAAATAATATATAAGTAGTAAACTATAAGTATCACATTAGGTTAATTTAAAGAAAACCTACAAGTATAACTGCAGTATAAAAACTATTAAACGAATAGTTTACTGAGAGTAAAATACTTAAAAGTGTACTTTAATAAACTAAAACATGGGAAGAATGTATAGATAGATAAATATAGAAGTACATAACTAGTAAATGAACAGTATATTTATAAGTTTACCTTTAGTATAGTTGCAGTACAAAATAAAACTTATATATAAACTAGTTGTGTATTCAAACTTTACTTTTTTTACTCTTACACATAAAGAATACTTAAAAGTATACTTTTATAAATTAAAAAGTGGGTGAATTTAGTCTCAGGAAGTATGAAATAGTACACTTACAAGTATACTACCAGTACATTGGTATTAGTATACTCACTCCACAAATTATACTTGGGGAATATAGTTGAACTTTACTTAGGTTTATCTAATAAAATTAACTTTAAGTATACTTTTCTTTAAGGGTCATTAAAGGGCCTGTATCATGCAAAAAAATTCCCCACTACACAATCTGATGTAGTGCATAAACACTGTTAAAGTTTCAAATAGTTCCATTCACTGCGTGGTCCATATGTAGGAACTAAGCTACAAAAACAACCCATTTTGCAGTAACTGTTTCTGTAACATCACAAAAACCATATATTTGCCTCTTCAGGCCTGTAGCAGATTAGCTCCACCCATTCACATTGAAGTTACAAAGAGTGTTTCTGCCTGGGCTCCAATTTTTGAATGAGGAAATTTTTTGAATGAATTTTTTTCCGGTTGAATGAGGCACACTGTAGGGCAGCCAATCAGAACAGGATTCATTTACATATTTTAGTCTTGGCACAGTAAGAAAACAACCTGTTTCATTCTAAGGAATAAAGAGGGTTTGAAAAGTAGTCATGTAAAAGTGAATTAGGACTGTTTTTGGTACACAAAAGGGGATTTCAGGGAGTAAAACAAAATAATTAACAATAAAAATGAGGCATACAGGTCCTTTAAAGTCGGGAACCCATTGTGTGCAGAGCTGCAGGGAGGTTCCCGACTTTGGCACTTTGACAATGTTGGCTTTGTTTTAGTTTGAACTGATTTCATTATTACTATAATAGCTTTTACAATATTACAATAGCTTTTACACGACTCTGGAACTTAATTAGTATAATTATTATTATTATGATTATTATTATTATTATAAATATTATCATAATATAATAATAATAAATATTATTATTATTATTATTTCATTATTCCAGATATTTTTGATGTCTAAAGTACATGAACTTTCAGCAGTAACAAAAATGTATATAAATGTACCAACAATGATAGACGTATAGAGACATTTTGACGTAAAACATAAAGCTGTGTACAAATATTCCTAGGCATATTGGTTTTTGTGACATCACAAAAACAATGGATTCAAAATAGGCAGTTTAAACACAAAAGTGAAGGGCACATTGTGAAACTTAAACAGTGTTTACATGCTACATCAAACTCTTTTATTTCAAGAAGTGCAAAAAATTATGTTTTCAGTGACACGGGCCCTTTAAACACTGTGAGCTTACTATGCCAGGTGCTATGCAACTGTGCAAAGTACAGACACAAAACAGTTCCTGGAAATAATGACTTGACAGACAGATCTGCAGGAACGAGAGACTGAAATCTGACTCCCATGAATGAAGCCTTTGTTCACACCTTTTAGTTCACTGTCCTAGAACAATGTGCAGGGAGAGTTTCCTCCATAGTTTATTGTTAACCCTAACTCTAGTCTACTCATTCGAAACTCCATTTCCTTTACAGTAAGTAGGCCTAGTGCATATTTACTCACTGTAAACGTGGTACATACTACCCCAGTGGAAAACGTCTCTACACTACTGCATACCTCATTTATCATGAACTGTTACCTTCTAAGAACTTCTAGACAGGCATTTCCTGACAGATAACAGCCAGTTTACAATGATAAGCAAATTATATGTTTGTTTAACTCTTGTAAAGCCTTGACATTTATCACCCAGAGACTATCCAGTGTTAAGGGGGTGTTCACCTCACTACACAGTGGCTATGAGAATATGTGATAGTATATTATCAGTAATGTCCACACCTGGCCTTTATTACAGTAATATAGCTGGAGTGGACTTATCAGGCTATACTTAGCTACAGGTTCATAAAGGATGCTTTTTTAAAGACGACCTGCTTTGAGTAATGTGTGTAAATGATTATTTCCTCTTGGATGGCTTATCACAGTTATATAGAATGATATTCATGTCAAATGTGTTACCATACTGCACAATTCACATTTTTCCATAGAAAAGGTTTTCCCAGTACATCCTGGGTGTAAGTAGCAGCTTAGTTTTGTATGTTATAAATTAGCTGGAACCTAACACGGTCCAATGGCCAGAAGAAGAAGAGAAGAGCGAGGAGGGAAGAGGAGAGATGACGACTGAATCTGAATCTCATGCTAAATCA